GATGAACGGAACAACACGTCGCAGCCTCGCGCACAATCATCATGACTAGTCGCAGCTTCGCATACAATAGTCATGACTAGTCGGGTCCAATCACTTCGGCTTGGTTCGGTCGACAAGGGCAACCCCCATGCATCGTAGCCTCACGTGCATGAAGACGGCCCTTGAGCCATTTTTTGGAAAAATTTTCGAGATCCAAATGGGATAACCTTTAGCGAAGCCTTACCGCCAAGGTTAAAGAACCATCTAAATACCATCTTAAAACTATGGGTGTGACCCAGGTCCGGTCACAGGTTGTGTGTGGTGTAGTGCAAATACGGTAAATCATGCACAACAATTACATGCAAACACCGCTTCAATAGTACAAAAATTAAATCACAATTCCAATCCACCAAGCCTGCAAAACAAAGGGTTAGCCAATCACTACTCCCCTTATAACTCCCATTCTGCAAAACCATTTAACACCTAAGAATGAGAATTCAATCAAATTTTGCCAAATCGAGTGACTTTTCCATGAAAATTTTCTGGCCTAAGTCATCCTTAAATTTTCAAAAAATTCAAGTCTTTCCCCAGTGGAGTCGCTAAGCTGTCGCGACCTAAAAATCAGGTTTTCCAATCTTAGGCTAATGGATTACTAGATCAATTAAATTAACTAACCTAGCTCGAGTTCTCCCAAACTCTACCAATTCGCAACTTATGTCCAATTATGAGCATGCAAATATTTTCAATGGGAGCCGCCACTAATCATTTAAGGTAGGTTGATTAGAAACCTAAATAAAATAGCGGGAGTACTATTTTATTTCTACGAACCAGATATTATAAATCCGGGGACTTGGTTACGCTAGATTATGCTAACGTCCTTTCGGTACCAGTCTCAAAAAAATGCTCAATTCGGCAATTTTGATGAATTCTGACTTAGAGTTCAAAGGTGCAATTTTTTTTTGATTTTCTTTTTTATGAAAAATTATAACCGCTAAATCTTTCGAACTAAGTTTCGACCTGAAGCCTGACAGATCGACCCTAAAAATTCGAAATACCCGCTATGGAAATAACTCTATCTAAAGTCTGATAGATAGACTTATTCCCATGTGTGCGGTTGCGGATTAGGAAATAAATCCTAATTGAAATAGTGCCTATTGCTCAAATATGTAAAGTTAGATAACGATAAGCATGGAATAAGCAATAAAATATCCAAATTGATTCGGATGAGATATTTACCTAAGGCTCCGTTCGTTTGGCGGAAAATATTTTCCAAAAAGGAAAATATTTTCCCGGAAGTCATTTTCCTGGAAAATGTTTTCTCGAAACATAATTTTCCGGTGTTCGGTGATCAATATGAAAAAGTTTCGGAAAATATTTTTCGCCGGCGGAAGCAGCGGCCGGCGACCGGCGGCGGGCGGCCGGTGGCGGCGGCGATGACCGGCGGCGACGGCAGCGGTAGGCGACGGCGGCGCGGCGGCCGGCGGCGGGCGACGGGCGGCGGCGGCGGCGGCGGCGGCGGGTGGCAACCGGCGGCCGGCGGCGGCGGCGACGGCGGCGGCGGCCAGCTACCTTAGTGAAGAAGAAGAAGAAGCTCCGGAAAATGATTTCCGCTTTTGAAGAAGCGGAAGTCATTTTCCATAGACTTAGGCTATTTTGTGAGGGGGAAGAAAAATATTTTCCCACGGAAAACATTTTCCACCCTCGAACACCGGAAAACTCGGAAAATATTTTCCAGAAGAATATTTTCCGCCAAACGAACGGAGCCTAAATGCGCAAATAACTTTCCAAATTTGAATCGCCGGCGGATCGGGAGTGCGGATCAGAGGACCGACGGCAAACGGACCGGCGAATGTGGCGGCGGCAAGGACTGACCTTGCACGGGACAACACCGGCGGCGACGGGCAGCCTTTGGGTGTCACGAAACAGCAGCGGCAGGTGTTGGGCGTCAGGACGGAGTGGCAGCAGCAACTCACCTAAGGCGGCACTGAACGGTGACGGACGGCGACGAGATGGCTCGCGGTGGTAGTCAGCGGCGGTAAGCTCCGCAGAAATTTAGTGATCCCAAAGAGAATTTTCTTCAGTCTTTGACTCTGACCAATAATAACAAGCTTTGATGACCACTCAACCTTGACCGAATCTGGTTGCTCTCGTAACGATTTTCTTTGATTATTCAACTTTGATTCTCAAAGCCCAACAATCAAAGTCTTCACTTGTCACTTGGAAGATAACTCGATGGCAAGACCGGTCTGGTCATGCAGGGACGTCGGGCTGAAGTTGTCGCGGCATGACAGCAAAAGAAGCAGGTGGATCGGGCTGAGAGCAGTAGTAGGTGGCTTCGTGAGCAGCAGAGATCGGTAGCTCGGCGTCGTCGTTCGCGCAGGCAAGAAGCAACAGCAGCAGCAGTGTGACCCTCACGGCCACAGGTCTGACCGTGAAGAAGATGGGGGCCCGGGGAGCAGCACGGGCACGGCACGGCAAGGAGGCGCAAACGGCAGCGGTGAACACGGCGTAAGTACGGGCAGTGCAGGAGCGGCGGTGGGGCAACGCGGTGGCTGTTGCGCATGTACGCGGCCGAGTCTCTCTCTCCCTCAAATCTCACATGTATCACTCGCGTCTTTCTGAAAATTATTCTGGGAATTCTCGAGCTTCCCCCCCATCTCTTGTCTGTACATGATCCTTTTATAAGTGAGAATGTCTAGGCCTTTTTAGAAAGAGACCCACTCGAGAATATTTAAAACATATTACGTTTGGCTTCTTCCCTTTTTGCTTGTGCCCCTGACGCCAGAACGTAATTCCAAATATATATCCCCCACGTTGACCGATTCCGTTTTCCTCTTCTTGTATCCTTCATATATATTTTTTCTTTTGCACAAAGATACCAAGAAACAAAATCTGCTGATACACTTCCTCTTTCCTTTATATATTGCCTTCGCCTCGGTGAAGAATGTTCCCCTTGCCTTGTCGTGACACCCAAGATTTTTTAATGGAATTTCCAAAAGATATATTGTCAATTGCTGTCCATGGATTAAAGATATATGCGGATAGGATATTACTCCCTCCTATCTTCTGACAATACGGCCAAATATAATGAATCTCCCTTCCTTCTTGGTCCTCCATGTGGCAGAAAAATATATATATAGAAGATCTCTTGCGACCGAAGATCACACATGCAAAACATGTGACTTTTGGTCATGGGCTTGATTGAATTAAGCTCAGAGCCATTCGCTGCCGTATGTTCGATAAATGTGCAAACTATATGGGCCTAATTAACTATCAATGAAATGCTCCTAATATCTATATGCAATTTAACTAATTAATTTTTTTCTAGGGACCGGGATCGATCCCTAATTTTTATGCAATGAATGATTAATTGGGTCTCCAAAATTTAGGTGTCAACAACAATAAAAATTAAAATAATATTCGAGTCACTCGGGTACTCTCGGTGTTTCCAAGCACCCAATTATACTTAGTAACTCACACAATTCACGCGGTGTTTGGACCTCACAATTGATCACGATACAATCTCTCGATCTCTTAAATGAATACGCAGATTTTATCCAGGCTTTAGTCCTGACTGGATGTTGATGTTTTGAAAATTGGAATTCAATTTTCTTTTATATTTGGATAAGTATCATCCCCTTTTTGGCGCAACCGAAGAAGGTAGGAGGTCTCCCCCTTAATGCAAGCCGGCGGCAAGAAACTTACGTTAGGGGACGGAGTCTTACGAAGTCTACAATGTCCTGACTGAAGAGGGCGAAACATAAAAATGTAAATTTTGGTATCTATTTGCCAAAATGGGATAAGTGCATTCGAAGTCTTAAAATTTATCATGAAAGTACAATTAAGTCCTCAAACTTTCCAAAAAGTACAATTGAGTCCTAAAACTTGTCACGAAGTGCAATTGAGACCTGAAATTTGTCAAATTGGTCCAATCTAGTCATTTCGTTGATCGTACTTTTTAAAAGTTTTAGGGCTTAATTGTATTCTCGTGACATGTTTTAGGAGTTGATTGCACTTTTTGTAAGTTTTAGGGCTCGATTGTACTTTCATGATAAGTACATAATTACACTTTCATGACAAGTTTTATGACTTTCAGTACACTTATCCCTTGCTAAAATTTCCACAAAGCGTTCTTTTCATCTTTCGGCCTTATGTGGCCAGATCAAACCCTTTCAATAAGTCCCATGCTCATGAAAAACCAACATACACATGGTAAACCAACTTTTAAATCGCTGAACTTGGTCTTGACTGCAATAAAGACGACTGTGGCAATTCGAGAATCTTTGATGGCCTTATCGACCGCGAGAGCTACTTCTTCGCGCCGGTCGAGATCTTCGCTGTATATTTAGGTTTGACGCCATTCCGATCCAATACGTCGTACGTGCAAGCGCCGTGGGGAGTTGTTGCCTGCATTGACTTTCTGTCGGTTATAGCTCAAGAGTACGTCATGCTCGAATTGTTCCTCCGAATTAGCCTTTTGGACACTAGAAATCTTCCTAGCTCGAGCATGATTGCTATACCGCACTAAAGAGCATCTTATGCATCATCTCTAGTAACGTTCTGCTCATCAAAATCCATATGCCGATTCATATGAACGATTTTATACACCGAGGCACTTGCACCAAAACCAAGAACGATATATCGTGGCCAACAAATAAATACACCGATAAAAAGTTGGGAAGTCCACCCAGCCAAGTTCGACACTGGACTTGATTTTGAAAATCTGTGTGATCACATGGTCCATTTAAACTCAGGTTGGGCTTCATTCGTAGGATCAAACTCGAGTTATAATTATAACGAACGGTGTAGTCATGCTTCACTAATCAAGTTGATGAATTCGTCATCTTCCCATGACGAGTTATGATGAGAGGCCTTATTGAGGCTGACATAATCTCCCTGATACGTGTCTTGCTGCGTCATAGCTTCGAAAGTATTTCGAGGAACCAAAACTGACGGTCACAGTCATTACGCATCATACAAACGATTAATGATCGAGAAAAGGAACATGAACACACATTAGGAAACGCAAAAAGTATTAAAGATACTTTCATAAGAAAATTTATTCTCAATCCATGGAAAGGCTAGACCAAAGTCCCTTACAAGGCCCAATGCAGTTCAACCCAGATTCTTACCATCAAAGCTGAAAACAAGCTTGCAGCAGCATCAAGCATTCGCGATACACAGCAGAAACAGAGAGGAATAGCTAGTTCAAGATACATTCTTGATTGATTGGATTCCAGGATCCGAATTACAAAACAAGCCCTATCTATACGTTTTATTCATTGATGCGAAGTACTCATTTCTATACATACAAGGTACTTTGTCCTCCCATACGATCGTCGGAAAACATGCACCAAAGGGCATGGTTGGCGGTCGACAAAGCCTAAGCCGTGACGACGGTGGGGGCTGCCATTACCATGGGGACAGAAGCGACACGACGATGGAGATTAGGGGGAATACTCTTAGGTTTTCTCTTGGCTTCAAGGTGTTGCAGTTTAGCTTTGACATCTCTAACAACTCCTTTGATAAACTTAGCTTCGTCTCTGTTTAAATGAAAACAGAAAAACAAGAAGCATGGGACTAGTAGTATGCTAATATTGAAATTTTATGCTCGAGCAATCTGCATTGTTGGGTAAAAATTTGCTAACAGTTAATAAACTCGAATCACCAAATATGACTTGGCAATAGATCTTAGAACATCATTATTAACAAAACCATATGCATCGTATTGGCTAAAAGTACGGAACGTTGTTTTCTTACAATAGAATGACTTAAGGACTAAACTGAAGCTTCATGATCGGCAAGAAACTCGTACACCAGACCATCTTTTTCCATATTTTCAAAGCTTATTCACTTGCTATATGGATCAAATGACTGGTTTCATACGATTTGAAAGTCAAGCGGGCGATTGTCGGGGGTGATTGTCGGGCTGATGAAGTGCCTGGATCTCGAGAAAGATAGAATGCTAGGCCCAGGAAAAGACAGAATCTAGAAAGGGCGGTATCAGAAACTTACGAATTGTCCTCGAGATGCAATCCTGGGAAGTTGGAAGTAATGAAAAGAGCATGCCTCCATTTCTCCACCATGTCCAAATCTTTGCCATGCCTCTGCTCATGCTTGGCCAGGGCTACTTCATAATGCCCGGTCCGTTACCTCACTTGGCTCGGCTTCACTTTATAGAACACGGGGATCACCATCTGTTCCTGGAGCTTGCTACGCTCGAGGATCTTCACCAGCTCTTTCAGGCACCATTCGGAGGAGGCGTAGTCCTGGGAGAAGACGACGACGGTGACGAGGGATCGTTCGATGGCCTTTTCGAGGGCCGGGGCTAACTTTTGACCCTTGTGGAGGTCCTCGCTATCCGCGAAGGTTTTGATGCCGCTCCGAGCCAAAGCCTTGTGAAGGTTCTTCAGGAACCCCTCGCGAACATCCGGGCCGCGGAAGTTCACGAACACATCGTTCTTCGACCGTTTCTCTGAACCCATTTCGGAATCGACGATGAAACTTGGAAATTTTTCTCAGCCAAGTATTGGGGCGATTTGTCTAGTTCATGGGGAACTTGGTCGACTTTTCTTACTTTAATTTTTATATACTTTTACTCATTTTTTTTTGTTTCATGTTGTATCATCAATGATGTACGAGTGATGGATAAGCTCGAGGACGGGTTCTTTGTTTTTTTTTTTGGGCTATTAGATATATAAGTATGGTATTTCCATTGGGTCGCGCTTTTTCGACCTACTATATAATCGGAACACTTACGGTATTATGACTACATTGCGCTTTGTGGGTCCCACCTTTTTAGCATCCGCGGTCGGGATGTCCTAAGAGCAATAGAGAGTCTCAGAGAATTGGTGAAAGATCCAAGGAGGATGAGCCTGCACTGAGAATCGTTCATTTTCTTGGTTCGTGTCTTATGGCTGGATGACCATCGTGCAAATTGTATTCAGCCTTTAAATCACTCAACTTGGTCATGACTGGATTTTCATGTTTTGCATACTGAAATTCATTTTTCTTCTTATTTTTGGATTAGTTTCGTCCCTCTTTATTTGGCACAATTGAAGTAGGTAGAAGGTAGCGATTCAGGACGGCGAAAAAGGGAAACTCGTGGCCGACTAAAACACGGGAAAGTCCGGATGCCTGCCAAGGTAAGTTTGGACATTGGACTTGCTTTTGAAGCGCGGGCATTCACGCCTTCCATTTCGATCAGGATTAGATGTCATTCGCGTACTCAAACACTCAAGACATACTTCGTTAGTTAAATCGATGAATTTATCATTTTCCCATGATGAAACGGCCTTGTCGTGGCTACTATCAGCTCCCCCCAAAAGCTCAGCCTATCCTCGGATCATGGAATTAATTCCATACAAATTGCATCTGATAAAAATCTTTGATATGGTGATTTTTTTAGGGTTACGAGAGAAATTATTACAATGTATACATGTTGATCCTTCAAATTCGTAGCAACAACTTCAAGCCAATTGTCCATTCCACCAATCACGCCTCACAATTTCACATGGACCATGGGACTGGCATGTTTGAATACTCCTCCGGCTCCATCAATCGCAAGGCCCATTGCAGTGGAACCCAGATTATTCCAATCACAGCCCAAAACGGACTTCTGGCAACAACAAAGTACTCCCAATGCATTAAGGTACTTTGTCATCCTGTTCGGTCGTAAAAATAAACATGTCGCAAAAGGCATAGTTTGCGGTCGTTAAAACCTACTACAAATGATCAGACAAAACGTTGTTGTCATCTTACGATAAAATGAGTTTGAGTGGTAAATTAAGGCTTCGTGATCAGCAAGAAAATTCGTACAAGAGACCATCTCTTCCGTGTTTTCAAAGCAAATTTGCATGTAATTTGTATCAACGATATGAAAGTTGAGTAGGTGATGTGGCCTAGACTTGGAACCCTCCGGAAATTGGAACAATGAAGGTCGACATTGATGGATCTTACTCGTTGGGAGAAGAGTGGGGGAGCGGTGGCAGGCGCGTGCCGGGACTACCAAGGATGACTTATTGGTGGCCACGCCTGTGTCGCTCGAGCTTCGTCGCCCCTACAGGTGGAGGTACGGGCTCTCTCTCAAACCCTAGGACTTTTTATTAAGAGAAAGAAAGAGATAGAGGACCTAATTTGTTGAGCCAGACAAGCTTACGGTGGTAAAAGCAATGTGCAATCCAAGTTCTGCTCCATGGGAGATTCGTGTCCTCCTCTCTAATTGCGTAAATTGGCTTTGGTCATTTTCGAAGCTCCGGACCCAGCATTGTATAAGAGAGAGAGGCTAATTTTGTTGCGGATTGGGTTGCCAAGACCCACGAATGCAATTCTTTACCTTTTTTTTTTTGGGTCAGAAGAAAAGACTGTTCATTGATATCTAGTAAAGACGAAACCCACTTTCGGGGTCTCAAAACAAAGCAGATCTCTAAGGGCCTGCGGAGGATGAGTCAATCAGTGTTCAGTGAGTGCTTTTTTACTGTGTGTCGTAACTACCCAGTCCGCGACACTATTCCTGGACCTATTACAAAACTGCAATTTTATGTTTGAAAACGAAGACAGCAGCTCACGTGCTTCCCTGAGGAGAGCACGATGTTCCCTGACATACCTTCCGGAGACTTCAAGTCGTTGACCCGATTTAGCGATCGACTCCGGGATTATGTTTTCACCCGCACGAGGAGAGAGAAATTTGAGGGTTTCCACCATGGCTAGGCTCTCGGCTTGTTCGGCGGAGGAGGCGAGGACGTCCTTGGCAAAGCCGTCGATCAAGATCCCAGCTGAGTTGCGGCATACACAAGCTATTGAACCTTCAAAGGAAACAGGTTGGTGAGCTGCATCCATATTTACCGTTGTTTCGCCCCTCTCTAGGGGACTCCAGACATCCTCCTCAGAGTGGTTTACAGCTTCAATTGGTCTGTCAAGGTTGTTCCATCTGTTGAAATTTTTTAGCAATTGTCGTCCTCTTTCAACCAGCAACTGTGGGTCCGGGAGGAGCCTTCTAAAGATGAGGCTATTCCTTGCTTTCCAGATTTCCCAAAGGACAACAGAGACTAACTCAAATTCAGGGGAGTTGTTGCTGCTTTGGGTATGAATTTAATCAGCCATTCATCAAAGCGGGAAGTTTGGTATTTTGAGATCTGGATGTTGAGTGCAGGAACATCCCAGACTTCTCTCGTCCACTTGCATAGTAGGAATAGATGTTCTGTGGTTTCTGCATGAACTCGGCAGAATGGGCAATTCAGATCAGGTACCAGTTTCCTTATGTACAAATTTTCCTTCGTTGGTAGTGCGTTTTGGCATACGCTTCATACAAAGTTTCTGATTTTGTGGGGAGTTTTCATTCTCCATATCCTGTTCCAGAGTTTAGTAGGAGTTTGATGAGAGGAGGAGGCAGGTTGAGTTTCTGTGTTTACCTTTTTTCGAAGAGTGTTGTAACCGCTCTTAACAGTGTAGTCGCCTTCCTTCGTGCCCATCCAGATCAGTTTGTCTTCATTCATTTGTGGTCCGATATGTACTGTGAGGATCTCTCGTACTACCTGTTCATCGAATAGTCGTCGCAAAAGCGGTTCCTTCCATGTGCTTTCCTCTTGGTCTATCAATTCATCAACCTTTTTTGGGTCCCCCGCATTAGCCGGTCCCCCTATAATTCCCTTTTGAGCCACTTATCCTCCCTGATGTTAATATTGTGCCCATTCCCTACTGACCACATGACTGAGTCTTCAATTGATGTGCGCCCCATGAGTATGCTCTGCCATCCCCAAGATGGTCTGGATCCCTTCTCTGCCTTCCAGAAGCTCTTGGTTGGGTAGTAGATACCCTTTAAAACTTGACTGCACAGAGTTGTATGATTTTGTGCTAATTGCCAAGCTTGTTTACCCAGCATGGCCTTGTTAAAAGATATTAAATCCCTAAACCCAAGGCCTCCCCTGTCGTTTCTCTGTTTGAGAACTTCGGCCTTCCTCCAGTGCACTCCTTTTGTTGCTGGTTGGTTCTTCCACCAGAAGGCTGTGATTTTTTTCTCAATAGCTCGACATACTGAAAGTGGAATCTTGAAAATTGACATAGCATATTGTGGTAATGCTTGGACAACAGTTTTGATCAGAATTTCTTTCCCCGCTTTAGACATTGTGTTCTCTTTCCACCCTTCAAGCTTCATATTTACCCTTGCTAAGATCCAAGCAAACATTTGCTTTTTAGATGCTCCCCAATCAAAAGGAATACCCAAGTACTTCCCTGTCTTTTCAATCTCTGGGACTCTTAGTTCTCTAGCCATATTACTTCTTAATTCACTAGGGCAGTCCTTGCTGAAATATATCCCTGACTTGTTCAAGTTAACCGCTTGTCCTGAGGCAAAGCAATACTGGTGAATGATTGCAGCTAGGTTCTGACATTCTTGTAGCTTACCATCGAGGAAAAATATTGAATCATCTGCAAAGAGTAGGTGAGATAGTACAGGGCAATGTCTATTGAGTTGTATTCCTTTGATAGTGCCATCTTGCACAGCTCTTTTCATCAGCATTGACAGGAAATTTGCAACCAGTATAAAAAGGTATGGGGATAAAGGGTCCCCTTGCCTTATCCCTCTTGTAGGTTGGAAGAAAGGCTGGGGTTCCCCATTCAACTTGACACTCAAAGAGGTTGTTGTAACACGTTGCATTATCAAATTCACCCATCTTTCATTGAACCCCATTGTAATCATACAAGCCTTCAGAAAATCCCATTCTATCCGATCATACGCCTTTTGCATGTCTAACTTTAGGACAGCTTGAAACTTCTGTTTACGCTTGCGAACCTGTAATTGATGCAGAACTTCCTGGACTACAAGAATGTTGTCTTGGATTTGTCGTCCTCCTACAAAGGCACTCTGTTCAACTTCTATCAATTCCGGGAGCCATAGTTTCAGCCTATTTGCTAGCACTTTGGAAATGATCTTGTATGCGAAATTGCACAAACTTATAGGTCTAAACTCGTCCAGCTTCTCTGGGTTTTTAACTTTTGGCACCAAAGAGATAAGTGTTCGATTCAGAAGGGGGTTTAGCACACCAGTTTGGAAGAAGTTTCTGACCTCTGAAAATACTTCCTTCTTTATGACTTCCCAATGATGCTGAAAGAACTGGCCATTCAAGCCGTCCGGACCCGGGGCCTTTGAGGTTCCAAGCTGGAACGTTGCTTGCTTGACCTCTTCTAGTGTTACGTCCTCAATCAGCCTGAGATTAGTTTCCTCCTTCACACGGCAAGAGCAATATTGAAGTAGTGGAGTAAACTGTCGATCTCCAACTGAAGTGTACAGTTCCCTAAAGTGGTCATATGTCATCCTCTTCAGTTGTTTTTGGTCTTGGATCCAGTTTCCTGTTGAGTCCTTCAACATAGAAATTCTGTTTCGTTATCTCCTCTGAACAGTAGAGGCGTGAAAGAACTTAGTGTTTCGATCCCCCCACTTGAGCCAATTAATCCTTGAACGCATTGCCCAATACATCTCCTCCTGACTCCATAGCCTTTGAATGTCATCCCTCAGCTTTTGTAGTTGTTCTTTTTCCTTCTCAGCAGCTGGATTGTTTGTTATACACTGTATTTGTCCCATTAAGAGCTTAATCCTGTCCTGTCCATTTGTGAATTTTTTCTTACTCCAGCTTTGTAAGGCAGCTGCAGCTTTTCCCATCCTGATCAAGAGGCCCTCATTCGCATGCATTGAAGAATTCCATGCTGTTTGTATAACTTCTCTGCATTCTTCATCTTCTAGCCAAAAAGCTTCGAAACTGAAATTTTTCTTCTGCCCCTTACGGGCTTGATAGGTAGACAATAGGATCGGGCTATGGTCAGAACCAATAGCCGGTAATGCATAGATTTCTGCCTCAGGGAATTGTAGTCTCCAATCCAGATTACTAACTGCTCTATCCGGTCTTTCTTTCACCAGCTCTTCTCCTTCCCGATTGTTTGACCAGGTAAAGGCACAACCCTTACTTTCGAGGTCCATTAGTTCGCAGTTATGCAGGAACTCTCTAAAAGCATGGAGTCTATAGTGCTCAGCCATTCTTTTGCCTACCTTTTCCCAATGATACATAATTTCATTAAAGTCCCCCAAGCACACCCAAGGTAGCTGGTTTACCTGGCTGATTCTATATATTTTTCCCCACATCTTGTCTTTTTCTTGGTAGGTTGTTGGTGCATGGACAAATGTGACTCGCATTCTCATTTTATAGTTGTCCTCTTCACATTCGATGTCTATTAATCCCTCTGAAGCTGATAAGATTGATAAATTAACAGGGACATTCCACAAAATCGCTAGGCCGCCTCTTATTCCCGTTGGGTTAACCACAAAGCACTCATCATATTTCAACATCCTCTTTACCCAGTGTATCTTTTCTTCTCTGTTTTTTGTTTCCATGAGAAATAGTACCTCGGGCCTTTCTTTAGCCACTAGGGCTCTCAAAGCTTGGACTGTCAGAGGTGTGCCCAACCCCTGACAGTTCCAACTCAAAATTTTCATATGGATCCCGGTGGCTTATTAGGGCTAGCCACCACAGCCCATTGTCCCGAGCTTTCCACCACCTGGATTGGCGTTTCAAGTAGTTGATCTTTATCTATGAGTAACGGTTTGCCCCCTTGAGAGTTGTATGGGCTGAACCTTCTAATCCTCTTGCGAACGGGAGTTTTCTGCCCACTTTGTTTCTTTTTATTGGCACTAGCTGGTACCCGACTAAGCTCTGGTTTTTTGGGAGGTGCCTGATTTCCGGCCAATGTAACAGGAATTTTGCCCAAATGTTCACTTTGACCTGCTGGAATACTCATTGCAGTAAGATTAGTCTTTGTGCTATCCTGCTTAACATGCTGAATTTTCTGGATTTGGCTGGAGCTGCTCTCATCGTAGATCACTATTTGTCCAGAGTGAGTAGGTGTCTCCGGGATGCTTTCCTCTACCATAGGTTCAACTAAGTCTTTCCCATGAAATAACTTCCTGAAGGGGCTATTGCTGCTTACCTCGGCCTTCAGCCAAGGGCCGAATAGTCTATCCTCATCAGTGTTCACATCATCGACGCTAAAAGGCACCTCTTCACAGTCAAAAGCATAGTGGCCTATTTTCCCACATGAGAAGCAAAAATACGGGAGCCTCTCATATTTAAAATCTAGCCAGATTTTCTTCCCTTCATTGTCAGCAAGCATTCCTGACTGCAGGGGTAAGTTAATATCCAATGTCACTCGCACCCTTCCATACGACACCATTCCTCTTGTCTCAATTTTAACTTCTCGCACTTGTTCGATGTTGCCAGCTACTTCTCGAACAACTTCCTCTGAAATCCACTCAAAAGGAAGCCCCAGAATATGTACCCAGAAGTCACACGAGTCAAAGTTGTAGCTTAAAGCTGTAGTATTTGGTTCCCATTGTTTCAAGATCAAGAGATTGTTCATAAAAGACCATGGACCTTGGTCCATCACTTTTTTCCTCATAGCTTGAGAGTCGAAGGTTATTGCAAAAATACCTTGTTCTAAAGGAGTAAAGTCTACATTTTCCACTCGCCATGCTCTCCGCATTGTGTTTTGGAAAGCTTGGAAGTTGATTTTTGGATTTTTAAGGAGTTGCCCTATCAGAGTTAAATTCCCATCCTTGCCTTTCGCTGATGCCAGAATCCCTTCGACATTCTTAGTGACTTTGTCTGACCACATTCTTCCTAATCTTTTGCAGAGCAGGGCCAACCTGTGGTTTGCATCTTCATCCGGCTCCATGGAGATGGAACTTAATCGCAGCAACTGTAGTTCCTCGAGCTGAAGGAACACAAAATTTACTTGTCTTCACAGTTGAGTTCCGCTCCAGAGAGTGATTTTAGTGAGACAAGTTGAAGGGTTGTGGGTGGGTGTTGAGTTGACGAGGCTTTAGGTTACTGAGGAGCAGTTCATGGTTCATGGTGACTGAGCTATATTGGGGAAGGAAGAAGAGGGACATTTTGGGTTTACACTGGCTAGGCTGCCCCAATGGTTGGAGGGAAGCACTTCCGAGAGAGGAGAGTACATCACCCCTCCTCCTCCTCAGTCACCAACCGCCGCCAAAGAAAACACCACACTCCTCTGACGGTTTTCTATCAGGCAAAAAAGCAAACACTTGGTGTGCACTTACTGATACCTCAGTAATTTGAAGAAGACGGGGAACCACTCTAGTACCGACATCACCGAGCACCATCAAGTTGCTGCTGAACGGTTCTACTACTTCACTATCACACAACCAGCAGATGAAATTTTAGCCCAGACGGAGCAGATCATCCTCGTCTCGGTCGGGGGGGGAAGTTGGCGACCTGGGGTGAGAAGCGGAATAAGAAGGGACTAAGTGAAGATGATGCGATTAAGAAAGGGAAGACTCTGACCAAGTGGAGAGGACGACTCCCATTGAGGGAGAGGACGAATCCCACGGAGGGAGAGGAAGACCCCTAAAGAGGAGAAGGAAGCTCTCGGGAGAGTTTTTTTGTTTTGGGTAGATTAGAACGCTACACAAATAAACAACATCAATTCTTTACCTTCAAATTGGGTTGTTTTACCTTCTCAAACTCTTTTAGACCTCTTATTTACTTAAGCCCATTTATTAGGCCCTTTTGTTTTTCCTAGTTGAATGGAAGTTCTATCGTTCCAACAAAAAAAAAATATACAAATCAAGCAAATATTAAAAAGCAAAAGTCAATATTAGCTGACTTTCTGGTCCTCGCTCGTGATTGGAGAAGTTTTTAGTTATTGGTTGATATTCGATGTTCTATGGTGCTTGATCAATGAAAAAAGCCCAACCTAATCAGAATCAGCCTTAAATATTAAGCGAACATAATGGAGATGATTAGAATGTGCAAGATAAATAAGCCTCTCTCCGGGTAGACATGGCCACGGTTCGGAATCGGCGGTTCCGGTTTGTGGCCATGTATGAACTGGAACTGGCGGTTCCGGGCCAGTTCCGGTTCCGGCCGGTAAAAATTAAAAAAATAAATTGTGAAATAAAAAAATAATGAATTATCAAATTATGAAATAATGAATTATTCAATATAAAATGTAATCAAAATGTACATTTTAATCAAATTTGAGAAAAAAAGAGTTTTCCACTTATCTGCAGTTTTTTTTTCTTTTGGAACTAGGCCTGGAACTGGCGGTTCCGAGCCGGTTCCAAAATTGTTGGAACCGGAACCGGGCCTGTAGACCACAGGCTGGTTCCGGTTCCTAACCGCGGGCCCGGTCAACAGGCCAAAATCGGCCCGTGGCCATGTCTATCTCCGGGTACGATTTTCCCGAAGTTCAATGAGCGTCTCAAATCAACACTTATTTATTATGATTTCATTTGTTTTACGAAAAATAATTAATTTGAAAAATATTTTCTTATGAAAATAAGCGGGTCGTTTTCTCTTGTGAGAAGAACATGTCGTTTCACGTCGAGGGCTTTAATTTAATTTGACCGGTTCATGTTCAAAATGCTGAAAAACAAAATGTTGTTTACCATGTGAAAATTCCGGAGCCCGAGTCAAAATTGACGAGCTCGCTTTGACCGCCTCCCTTTCCTTGCCATTCCCAAATTTCTCTTGGACGTGGACCACCTCAACCGCGACCAGGATGACGTGGCACTCGACCCCGTCCTCGAGAAAGATAGAATGCTAGGCCCAGGAAAAGACAGAATCTAGAAAGGGCGGTATCAGAAACTTACGAATTGTCCTCGAGATGCAATCCTGGGAAGTTGGAAGTAATGAAAAGAGCATGCCTCCATTTCTCCACCATGTCCAAATCTTTGCCATGCCTCTGCTCATGCTTGGCCAGGGCTACTTCATAATGCCCGGTCCGTTACCGCACTTGGCTCGGCTTCACTTTATAGAACACGGGGATCACCATCTGTTCCTGGAGCTTGCTACGCTCGAGGATCTTCACCAGCTCTTTCAGGCACCATTCGGAGGAGGCGTAGTCCTGGGAGAAGACGACGATGGTGACGAGGGATCGTTCGATGGCCTTTTCGAGGGCCGGGGCTAACTTTTGACCCTTGTGGAGGTCCTCGCTATCCGCGAAGGTTTTGATGCCGCTCCGAGCCAAAGCCTTGTGAAGGTTCTTCAGGAACCCCTCGCGAACATCCGGGCCGCGGAAGTTCACGAACACATCGTTCTTCGACCGTTTCTCTGAACCCATTTCGGAATCGACGATGAAACTTGGAAATTTTTCTCAGCCAAGTATTGGGGCGATTTGTCTCGTTCATGGGGAACTTGGTCGACTTTTCTTACTTTAATTTTTATATACTTTTACTCATTTTTTTTTGTTTCATGTTGTATCATCAATGATGTACGAGTGATGGATAAGCTCGAGGACGGGTTCTTTGTTTTTTTTTTGGGCTATTAGATATATAAGTATGGTATTTCTATTGGGTCGCGCTTTTTCGACCTACTATATAATCGGAACACTCACGGCATTATGACCATAGTGCGCTTTGTGGGTCCCACCTTTTTAGCATCCGTCGTCGGGATGTCCTAAGAGCAATAGAGAGTCTCGGAGAATTGGTGAAAGATCCAACGAGGACGAGCCTGCACTGAGAATCGTTCATTTTCTCGGTTCGTGCCTTATGGTTGGATGACCATCGTGCAAATTGTATTCAGCCTTTAAATCACTCAACTTGGTCATGACTGGATTTTCATGTTTTGCATACTGAAATTCAATTTTCTTCTTATTTTTGGATTTGTTTCGTCCCTCTTTATTTGGCACAATTGAAGTAGGTAGAAGGTAGCGATTCAGGAGGGCGAAAAAGGGAAACTCGTGGCCGACTAAAACACGGGAAAGTCCGGATGCCTGCCAAGGTAAGTTTGGACATTGGACTTGCTTTTGAACCGCGGGCATTCACGCCTTCCATTTCGATCAGGGTTAGATGTCATTCGAGTACTCAAACACTCAAGACATACTTCGTTAGTTAAATCGATGGATTTATCATTTTCCCATGATGAAACGGCCTTGTCGTGGCTACTACCAGCTCCCTACAAAAGCTCAGCCTATCCTCGGATCGTGGAATTAATTCCATACAAATGGCATCTGATAAATTCTTTGATATGGTGATTTTTTTAGGGTTACGAGAGAAATTATTACAATGTATACATGTTGATCCTTCAAATTCGTAGCAACAACTTCAAGCCAATTGTCCATTCCACCAATCACGCCTCACAATTTCACATGGACCATGGGACTGGCATGTTTGAATACTCCTCCGGCTCCATCAATCGCAAGGCCCATTGCAGTGGAACCCAGATTATTCCAATCACAGCCCAAAACGGACTTCTGGCAACAACGAAGTACTCCCAATGCATTAACGTACTTTGTCATCCTGTTCGGTCGTCAAAAAAAACATGTCGCAGAAGGCATAGTTTGCGGTCGTTAAAACCTACTACAAATGATCAGACAAAACGTTGTTGTCATCTTACGATAAAATGAGTTTGAGTGGTAAATTAAGGCTTCGTGATCGGCAAGAAAATTCGTACAAGAGACCATCTCTTCCGTGCTTTTCAAAGCAAATTTGCATGTAATTTGTATCAACGATACGAAAGTAGAGTAGGTGATTTGGCCTAGACTTGGAACCCTCTGGAAATTGGAACAATGAAGGTCGACATTGATGGATCTTACTCGTTGGGAGAAGAGTGGGGGAGCGGTGGCAGGCGCGTGCCGGGACTACCAAGGATGACTTATTGGTGGCCACGCCTGTGTCCCTCGAGCTTCGTCGCCCCTACAGGTGGAGGTACGGGCTCTCTCTCAAACCCTAGGACTTTTTATTAAGAGAAAGAAAGAGATAGAGGACCTAAATTGTTCAGTCAGACAAGCTTACGGTGGTAAAAGCAATGTGCAGTCCAAGTTCTGCTCCATGGGAGATTCTTGTCCTCTCTAATTGCGTAAATTGGCATTGGTCATTTTCGAAGCTCCGGACCCAGCATTGTAGAAGGGAGGCTAATTTTGTTGCAAATTGGGTTGCGAAAACCCACGAATGCAATTCTTTATCTTCAAATTGGGTTGTTTTACCTTCTCAAACTCTTTTGGACCTCTTGTTTACTTTGGCCCATTTATTAGGCCCTTTTGTTTTTCCTAGTTGAATGAAAGTTCTACCGTTCCGACAAAAAAAAAATACAAATTAAGCAAATATTAAAAAGCAAAAGTCAATATTAGCTGACTTTCTGGTCCTCGCTCGTGATTGGGGAAGTTTTCAGTTACTGGTTAATATTCGATGTTCTATGGTGCTTGATCAATGAAAAAAGCCCAACCTAATCGGAATCAGCCTTAAATATTAAGCGAACATAACGGAGATGATTAGAATGTGCAAGATAAATAAGCCTCTCTCCGGGTACAATTTTCCCGTAGTTCAATGAGCGTCTCAAATCAACACTTATTTATTATGATTCCATTTATTTCACGAAAAATAATTGATTTAAAAAATATTTTTTTTATAAAAATAAGCAGGTCATTTTCTCTCGTGGGAAGAACATGTCGTTTCACGTGGAGGACTTCAATTTAACTTGACCGGTTCATGTTCAAAATGCTGAAAAACAAAATGTTGTTTACCATGTGAAAATTCCGGAGCAGCCCGAGTCAAAATTGACGAGCTCGCTTTGACCGCCTCCCTTTCCTTGCCATTCCCAAATTTCTCTTTGACGTAGACCACCTCAACCGCGACCAGGATGACGTGGTACTGGGCCCGGTCCACGTGTCCGGCTGTCGGATTTCACTGGACGGGAACGTGGGAGAGAATTGACGTAGGCTTGTGGCGAACCGCGACCGCGTGCAGTTCTCGCGTGTCAGCCCGTGCTTCACCCCACTCTCGGCCAACCACCGACCTCCACGTCAGCTCTAGCCGCCAGACGGTGAATGGGCGCTCAATACGGTACGCCAGCTCGTAGGCAGCGATCTCCATGCCGAGGATCGAGGCCGTCGGTTCCGAATAAACCTTGGACGGTTGGACTCGGATGGACGGCCCAGATTATTTTCGATCCACGTCACGCCGGATTTGGACGCGCGCCTCGTGTGAGCCTCGTGGAGGGAACAAAAGTGCACGTTCCCGGTCGCATTTCACCTCGTGGCGTCGCGAGCCCAGGGAGGCTGTTATCCCCTGCGCCCGGTAGCAGGAGACGCGGATTGCAACCACCAATCGAATTTCACTTTCCCACGCCATCCTGAGCAATGTATTTTCCAATCTCTCTCTCCCTCTTTCTTTTTGGGAGAAGATTTTAACTTTATCAATAATTACTACCAAATTTACTCCGATGGGTAATTCTTAAAATTGAAATCACGTGTTTGATCTCGTATTAATTTTACGAATTGGATTGATCCTAATATACCCAATCAAGATAAATTTTCATCGTTCAGAAAGAACGCAAGTAATTCGACTCAGCATTTCACGTTTGTACTTATTCCTACGTTAACTTTAATCCCTTGATCAATTCTAAATTCCAGCTTATCGCTTCGATGCGCGGTCAATAGATATCCAATCCAATCAATTTATACCACGAAACTCAAAAGCACCTTTATATATTTCCCGAGAAACATATCTCTTCTGGAAATTTTTTTTGGCCAAAAGGCCGGGAGGGGAAGGGGGTGCACCGAAGCCCCAATGCTCCCGACCGCGGGCAAGCAGCTCCTCGAGTTCTCAAGCGGATTATAATAGTTTTGCGTGGCGGGTGCATCTCACCAAAGCGGAAGCGTCCCGGGTCCTGACATTGATCTCCCCGGATCTGTGCCAAAAGAAAAACTCTCCTACAAAAGACGCCATCTTTGTTCTTGCTGTTTCTTGACCACCCATTGGTACAAGATCAGAGTCCTAGCTCTGACCCGTATTTGATCCTCTCCCCTTCCCTCCTTCACCAACCCCCCACCAAGAACAACATCACCACCATCCATCATCTTCATCATCATCTTCCTCTTCTTCTTCTTCATCATCTTCATCCGACCCCAGAGCCTTTCTTTCCCAGATCAAGAAGTGGGGGGAAGCTTCCGGAATCCAGTGCGGGTCGTTTGCTTCCCGGGCTCCGCCTGGGTTGACCCGAAACCAATGGCGTCCGTGGGGGTCCACTGCGGCGGCGAGTGCTCCATGAGCCGGAGCCGCTTGGACTTCCCCTCTCGCCAGGTTGATCATCAGAGCCCGTCGAAGCATTGTGCTCTGACGATACCCAATGGGACAAGATCGAAAACCCGGATGCGGCGGCGCGCCGTTTCGGCGTCGATGCCCGTCTTGGCCCCGGCCCCGGCCGGAAGGAGGTACGGGTCGATCCCCAGGAAGCCGAAACCGTACCAGGAGTTCGAGGAGGGCACCGCGATCGCGCACGGGAAGCTGGACGATTGGATGGAGGGCTCCGTGGTGGAGATCGTGAGGAATCTCCGCGAGGCGCCGTTGTTCGTGCACGTCTACGACCAGGACCGCGGCGGCCGGGGCGGGGGAGGGGGCGGGGTCAGGGGCAGGGATGGCGAGTCGATAAGGTTGAGGACGGAGAAGGGGGTGAGGGAGGCGGATTGGGATTGTGTGAGGATGAAGTGGGAGAAGGGGGAGGTTCAAAAGCCTGAAGGTGTAATCTATGTGGAGGAGCTTGAGGACGATGAAGATGAAGAAGACGATGTGACCAGGGTTTGGGGATTGGTGGTGCAGGGGAAGGGGGCTACTTGCGGGCCGGCTTGCTATTTGCTCAAGACCTGCGGGGTCGGGTCGGGCTTGGGGGCGTGCAGCACCCATTTCTGCTTGATGAAGGTGAAGAGTTTCCGAGAATCCGCGAGATCGCAGCTCAAGAATTTCTGGTTGTAGCGGGATCAGCCGAGGGTCCCAAATCATAATGGGAGAGGGAGGGAGGGAGGGAGGGGGTTGCTTGATTCTTTCGATTCAACTGTAAGCAACATTCGGTGCAAATCATCGAGGTTGATTGGTGATGATTCTTAATGATTTGAGCTTCAATTGTATAGATAATTCACAGTAAACAAGAAATTAAATTCTAGTATGATGGCCTCTCGATGGTTCTTTCTTTTCCCCCCTTTTGGGTGGTCATAGATCCGAGTCTCTAGTGCTTGGAATTAAAGTTTGCAGTTTACGTTGCTGTTGGAGCAGACCAGAAGCAGTGCATAGTTACCTTTAGCAATCTGGTGATTGATTGAATAATCATAATTCTGAATTTATGGCATAGTTTAACTAGTACTGGACTAAGTCTGGTAGAGTTTGCTTGGTGGCATCTCTGGGGAATTGATTGAATAAGCACAATTCTGAATTTATTGCTCATCATTCTGGCTAGAATATGGCTCCTTTGCCAAATGATTAATGTGAATTTCGCTGGTTCTCTGCCTTAGCATGATCGGTTGAACCAAAACATTGGCATGATAACTGAAACTATCGTCAGCTTTCGTCAGCTTTCATGTATCACACGAGCCCTGTGATTAGTACCTAGTGATCTGATTTCTTCCATACTCAAGGATGAAAGTGGTTGATTCACATAACAACGATTCTGCCTGTTCCCTATTAGATTACAGGACTGAGGATGCCTAAGTGCGCTGAGGTTGATTGTGTCTGCATTGTCTGGGAACACAGGATGACATTGCCTTGATGTTGTATGGCAAATCGTATCATTTGACCTTGAATGTCATGGATTCAATTTCATTTAAACATTTGCTTTGCCATTTAGCCGTAAGGTTGCGGCCATTGGTATGCTTCCCTGAATGTGCAACGATGAAAGCTCGGGCACTTGGATGTCACCTTTGTCTATAGGCCATATGAACCATGAAAAAGAGCTGGTCAAGAGTAAAACCCATGTATTTTGCGGCTTTGTACAGTCAATACATGAGGTCAATTTGAAATTTTAGGAATTGCGGTGCCACAATGAAAAGGGGAAAGATTATGAGTACTTCACTCCAGTGAATTGACGTAAAAAGGGAAATTGTTGAAGCCCATAAAATACAGTAAATGAGACATCCTTTAGTCTGGCGATGTTTACAAAATCTCTTTTAAGTTTGCTGTCCCTGGTGTCTTTATGTACCTTACTAAACGCTGCCTCGCCTAAGTTGTTAAACATGGGAAGTTTGCGCTTAAGCATGAGGATTTGGTTGGACTCTTTGGGTTTGCAAAGGGGTGTCCATGACTGTAGAGATTACGAGATGTCAGAAGGTATACAGAGCTATGGTTTATTCCATTGCAGTTGAAGTTGTGATCTCGTCTGGTGGTTGGATGTCCTTGCCGCATCTTTTGAAAATTCGTGGTTGAAATTGTCTTCATGAGAATATGCATGATGTATCGACTATGTAGGCAATCACTTCTTGTATAGACCTATTAAAAAAACAAAGAATGAGATGGGAAGAGATCGATGGACCATTGACAGTGCTCTAATTTCCTGTACAAATTTGTGTTTCAACGCTGAGCCTCTTACACGTGCGATCACCCTCTACTTATTTGGTTCCCGAAGAATGTCATTCCTCAAAGATGAGGCATTGGTTCAAAATTAGTCTGGATCTACTATTACTGCTGCTCATGCATCTCGTTAGTGTGTTCAGTTCTGTGTTCAAGTTCTCCAAATGTGTTCTTTTGTAGAAGTGCTTCCCATGATTGAGGATTATAGCTATACATGGCTCGATATTTCTTATGGAAGGGCAGTCGGATTTTCGGAACGATAATATACCATCATCCTTGCTTGGGAAACTAATGACAGTTTTTGGTTATCCTACAAAGGTAGATGAATTTAAAATGGTAGCACTTCCCTTGACTTATCTTGCCAGTACTGATCCTCAAATTAGGAACAGCAATCTCCCCGTTCTTGTGCTGGCTTAACCTTCTAGGCCACCGTGATAAACTTTGAATTTGAAAGATGCGGCAATGAACACACCACCGCTCCTGCATTTCGAACCGGGCTTGTTACCACGTTCATCATATTACAAAGGCATGAAAGACATGTCTAAGTATGGGATACGCAATCTTAGCAGTTAGCAGCCCCTAAAATGTAGATTTTCAAGCATTGAGCTGATCATTAGGCAGGCTTAGGTGAGGTCGGCCCAGGTCTGTCACAAGAAATAACCATCTTAGCCCCTTAGGGAAGCTAAACCGAACGCACTGATTAACCATTCTTGTAGTCTTCGATGTTCCGGCCTGGTCCAACACAACTCCGAACATCAGTTCTTAGTCACGAGTGCAGTATTACTGCACCAGTGGTTCTTGTCTTCGACATAAGACTGACAAGTGGGCTCATCCAACATCAGGCCCAGATTAGTATTTGAATGGATGGGGGGTGCGTGCGCGCCGTCTGACTTTTCATAAGAGGGAAAGAGCGGGGGGACCGCCGTGAGCCAACGGGCCCAGCAAAAAAGTCCCTCCAAACTATTTGAATTTGAAAAAAAACAAGAAAGGAGAAGCGGAAAAAACACATCTTTCTTCCTTCTTTGTCACGATGTTTAGGCCTCGGAGGATAGATAAAAACATTAATTAAACTACTATAAGTTCCGGATCGCTTGCATATGCAAGAATCGCCGGATCAGGCAGCAGCGTCTGCAAGCGCGCTCTCCTCTGCGTTTCAAATCCAAAGGAAAGCATTAAAAACCCCCCAGCACATAAATAAGATACCCCAATTGTCAATTCCAGATCTTGCTCATTTAAACCCTAACCACACCATTTTGTCTTGCAAATTCGCAATCAGGGTCATCAGTTTTTCAACAGAGAACTCGTTCCCATTTCGAATGAGACGACGCTTTTCCAGTTTTTGTGGATAGTCCTCGTTGTTTTCGTGTGTCCATAGCTTTTGTATGCCCGTGTGCAGTTCTTGTGTGTTTTTGTACAAGGGTCGGTGTTAAAGGTCTTGGATTTGAACTGGGTCGGGAAGAAAATGGAGGACCAGTGTGATTCAGGAAGTGTTTCTGGTCGGACTTCGGCATCGCCTAAATCACATGTAAAGGTTGGATTTTTACTCTTGCCCCCCTCTTTTTTGGTTGGGATCTGTTCTTTTTTACTGTTTCCATATCGCTGATGCTGGGTTTATCAGTCGAGTGGGGAGAAGCACCATCTGGTGACAGAGGAGAAACATGAAGTCGCGCGCAAGCGTGTCAAAATGCGGGATTTGGAATCCGTGTTGCGTCGCGAAGGTAATCTTGTTCCCTTTTTATTTGCTATGCACTTGTTCTTTGAGTTCAGTGGAGAGATGGGAATTCAAATTTAGGTCTCGAGTTGAAATAAAAACTGTCTTTTTATCTTCGAGTAGTAGTTTAATTCAATCTCGATATACCTTTTGGTCCAAGCTATTCTTATAATGAGTTTCAAAATTACAGGATGCAAACTTTGTGATTAAACATGTAGATTGATTACGAAATACTGCAGAATCTGAGTTCAACTGAATTGCATTGCCTCATTTGATCTACATAGACATGAAAATTTCTTTCTTTTTTCCTTTTTCAATGACGGTAAATGCTTACCGACCAAAAATAAAAAGAACCAGGTTAAATGCTTAGGCCTGTGCATTTCAAAGTGCCATGACCGAGAATATTGGAGATATGCAACGATGTTCATACTTATGACAGCATACTGAACTCAATGATGTTCTTTGCATTTTCCCCTATATCAGGAGTATAGACGTGGAAATTGACGGTGTTACTTTTTCTGGGGTTTTTGGAAATTTTGTGTGCATTATAGTGTACCTGATTTTCAAAATGTGATCCAGGAACTAACAACCATCCTCCAAAATCTGCAAAAGACAAGGGAGGCAAAGTTTCCTCTCAATGTGGTGAAGGACTAGGCACGTCCCAGGTAACCGAGGAGCCAATCACCTCTACTATAAATGGTTCTGATGAAGATGAATCTGAAAGAAATACTTTACCTGTGGAGGGTAATTGTAAGCCTGCACAACTTGATCTTAACACTGAAATTTGCTCCGCCAACAAGTTGGAAAGTGATGTCAATCCTAAACATACTGGAGAAACCAAGGAAACAGATGAAGCCTCTTTGCTCAGACAGCATGAAACATCAAGTGATCATCATGCATACTCAAAGGGCCTTGACTTGAATCTCAATGCAGAAGACCTTTCCAGCTCGGTGAATCTAAATCCATTTTATCCTTACAAGAATCTTGATCAGTTGAAGCCTGCAGATGCATCTGAGTGTGCTAGTTCAACTGGTCCATTGGAGGAGAAAGATTCATTGAGGCTTTGGAAGGAAATGAAGCAAAATGGCTTTCTCTCGTCCTCTCATGGCGGCATACCAATCCCGAAGCAACGCGGTAGGAAGAGTAAGAATGACGTTCTTAAGAAAAAGCTGGAGCTTGCAAAGAAAGAACAGGTAGATAGGTTCACCAAGATTGCTGCTCCTAGTGGACTCCTCAATGAATTGAACCCCGGGATCATAAACCATGTTAGGAACAGAAAACAAGTCCATTCCATTATAGAGGCATTGGTGAGGTCAGGAAGGGCTGAAAATAGCCATGTCGGGAGTAAACACGGTGGTCATTCGAAAGGTGAAACGAAAGAAATTGGTAATGGGAAGGGGTTGGGATGTTCTGATAATTCAGGAATGCACCAGCTCTCTTATTCATCTGAAAATGTAGCTCCAAGTGCTTTATTTGAGAGGAAGCAGACCACAGGATTCCCCACGTTGATGATGAGCAAGTCTTCATCTTTCATTACAGATCATGAAGAAAAAGATGGGGATCTGGGCATGGTAGGAGGTTTGTGCAAGAAGAATTTTGTCTCAAACCCAAACAGTATTAGTCAGGATGACGGATTGGCGCTGAGATTGTCATCAATTACGAGTAAAGCATCTGAGATTACTTGGTCTATGTCTAACGAAGACTCAACTACTTTTAGCAGTGTTACTTCACTTTCTGTTAAAGGTAAGTCTTTTATTGTACATGTTTGTTTCTCTGCTTGTTCTAGCGTTATTCTATGTTTTTAATACTTATTTCACAGTTCAGTTAATCTGTCTTCCTGGATGCTTATGTCACAAATTTAAGAATCTGCATCATACTTCCTTGTTTTGTTGTCTTTCTTTTTTACTTTCCGTCTCTAGGTGGGAATGGTTTTTTTATTTGTTGGTTTTCTTATTAAATTGTTTTGGTGGGTGGATCGTAATGGAGGATTATGCTGTGAAATTGGTTTTTGCATGCCATTGTCGAGTGAGCTCTGGGTAGTGAAGGGCCAAGCCAATTATTATGTACCTTGGATTTTACATTGTTATAATAGGCATTTCGAAGGCCGTTTTAGCTGACAAATGAAAGTGTAATGTTTTTCAGCTGCAACTGTTGCTTCTCAATGGTTAGAATTACTGCATCAAGACATCAAAGGACGTCTAGCAGGTAATACCCCATTGCATGTAGTCGCTAGAGTAAGGTTAGGATTGAAGTTGAATATTCTGACTAATGATGTGCTCTCTTTAAATTGCAGCTTTGAAACGCAGTAAAAAGAGAGTTCAGGCTGTGATCAACACAGAATTGCCTTTTCTAATATCAAAGGAATTCTCATCTAATCAAGAGAATAATCCTTACCCGACCAATAGTCCGATTGCTGACATGCACCTATCGAAATGGAGTACCCTCTTTGGTCAGATGGATAAAGCGCTTTTTGAAGAGGAGCAACAGCTTGTGAGTATATGACACTTTTCTTGTCGATTGCAAATTTTTTAAGAGGGAAGATTGTGATTGGAACTTTTTGGTGGCCAAGTTCCAATTCTACCGTTGGTAGCTTCTATGTGTCTCGCTGCACCATTTTGGTTCTGACTTCCTTTCTTGTTTCTTTATGGGATTTTGACTTTATGACTTGAAGACTGAATCACCCTCTGATTAGCACCAGAATCCCTCTTTTATGACTGTCTGTCTTACAAACTCCTCTCTCTCTCTCTCTCTCTCTCTCTCTCTCTCTCTCTCTCTCTCTCTCTCTCTTGGTTGTGAAGATTAATTGTATTTCTTTATAAATTGATTTGAACCGTATTTAGTTTAGTCTCACTTCATGATTTTTCAGGAAATCTGGCTGAACCAAGTGAAAGAGATGCAATTGCATTGTGAACATGGCCTGCAACATGTCCAGTGCAACGTGCCTTACAGTTCGGAGAACCTGGGAGCTACAGATATTGTTTCTAGGTAAATCTTTAAGTACAATTATTTACTAGCTCTTTTAGAGAATCCCATGCAGAGTCCCGTGACACTTGTCTATGACGGTTCCAAAAAACATGAATCGAGCAAACAGCTTGTCAGGATATCATCACTGTTCATAAAGGTCCCAGGCAGGTTCCACAAATTTTTGTATTCCTCTGTGTTTCCTGCAATGAACAATGTACAAAATAAATATCCTTTTGTGGATTTTGTCCTGAAATATGGGGTGAAAAGTGGTTAAATATTAGCGTCAATGGAAGTTAAACCATACTTAATCGTGCTTCTTCCCGGTACTTTTGTCATGCAGTGTAATGCCCATGGTGCCTGTTTGTGATGGATGCTCTGATCATGTATTATTTTGAGAATTGAGCATGCTTCTTGTTTGAAGCTTTATCTTCATATGGAGTTTATAAGGGCAACATTGGTCTAGTCTTCTACATAGAAGATTTTGGGATAGGAATTCCAAGAGCTGTCTTTTTATCATAAGCTGCAATTTTCTTGATTCGGAAGATGATACTCGAGATTCTGTCATTCTGTCCAACTTTAGCGACTATGTTACACATGAAAGTAGTTCGTTGATCCGTGAGACACTCAATAATTATTTTCTATGTTTTGCAGATCTAACAAGCCAGACACTTCCGAGAGAGAATTAGCAGTTCGGGCGGCTGCAGCTTCCATCTATTCAACATGCAATTTTCTACTGGCAAAGGAGAACGTGTCCTGCTGTTGACTATCGATCTTCAACTGAAACTTTTTTTTTTTTTTCATTCTTTTTGTATTTGTCCTTTGATCCCTACTTCTGCCTGGGTTACGTTCACATGCTCTCGTGAACCGGCATTGGACTTCATCTAGTTGAGTAGGCTTTTTACTGACTGTCAATGTAACAATAGCAATTTGGGTGACTAATTTCGGCTTAGTGTAGTGTTAGAAGCTGATATTGTTCGAAGGTCAGTCTCTACTGAAGTTTAGTAACACCCTAACAGTGTTCAAGCAATCTTGCTTGGAAGTAGAATGGACAAAAGAATAGAAATTGGATCTTCTTTTGTTGATTGAGATCATCTTCTCCCTACGGCTGAAATCTTGTTCTCTTGCATCCCGAGGTTGTTGTCAGTTCGAGATCTTTTTTAAGCAATACAAAGTTTTCTATGTACTTTCTGCTTTTTATTGAATATTATGACTCGCGCAAACAATACCGGAATATAAATTTATATATTCATCATCTCAAAAACCCAGGATATTCTTTTTGTTTTCAAACTTGAGAATATAAAAAGCACATCTGTTTTTTTTTCAAGCATGCTCAAACAAGCTCACTTCAGGCGGTCCACGTTTTATCACTAAATTTCACAAGAGCAAAGAGGAAAATCTCAAGAACCCTCTAAAGTTAAAACGTGACTGATCACAAATCATTGTCTTGACAACTTTTTGTCAAAGAGCATACACCAGTTCTGTACTAGCACGCACACTAGCCAGTGGTCCTTACAAAACTAAAACCGACAAGAACAAAAGATATCAGACAAAAAGACGTAGTTGTAAGGGGCAAAATCAACCACATGATATTTATATGTGCAAACTCTGAGTCGCATACACCGGCTGCAACAATGTACATCACCCAATTCGATGCATTCTCTAGCAATAATGCCAATAAATACACTGCCGTGCCGTGTACAGAGTACAGAGCCTCTCAAACAGAGCATTCTTCAAATTTTTCTTCATGTGTCGCATACAGCAGGCATAGGATTTGCCAAAATTGCCATTTCTTCACATCAGTGCATTACTGAAGCCAATTTGAGGTCAGCTTGCATGACAGTGCTTTTGAGGAAGAGTCATCTGGAACTTTGGCAAGTGATCGGTACTGCAATTTAACGCTCTCCGCGTTATCCAATGTTTTCACTACATACCTGTAAGGGGAGCTTACCATGTCAATGAAGCACAACATGCAGAGAAGAGAATCTTGCTGTTATTTGAAGCATGGAACATTTTCCGAAAGAAAAAGGTAGCACGTACGAAAACATCAAGGTCTTCCCTTAAAGTACCAAATAACTTCGATGTTTGCTGTATATGCTTTTTAAGCAGAGAGTAGATTGCAGATGCTAGGAATATATGAGTATATTTGAAAAAATACGCACCAAACTGAAGAGGGTAAAAAAAATTTAACCAACCATCCATTCAAGCACTGTGTCGTTACGACTGCCTCACGTCCAACAAAGCGCTCCGGCGTCCTCTTGTTACCCTGAATCAATATGTTCATACGTTTACATTCTCTAAGGGCATTTGTATCGCAGATGATAATCACTCACTTTCTGAAAGACCAAACCTTAATAATGACACGATCAGTCACGGCAAATGGAAACTGTACACCTCTTCCTCTCGTTGTATCCATGAGATATGAGTCGCTGCAGTTACCTTTCTCCTGAACAAAAGAAGCACTCTTAGAAGAAAAGGCGAGGGAACATATGGGAGAACTATACCAACATACGAGCATCCAGAATATAATTGGCAATTTACTCAGCCCTAGAGAGTGCACAGATTGCATACCTTATGAAATATAAGGGTATTAAAAGACTAAACATGAGATGAAGCAGGCAGCAGGCGGTAATTTATTGACCTTACAAATACAGAAATAGGACTTCCATACAGAACAGAGCACAGGGCAGCACAACATGTGATGCCCTTGAAGAATTGTATTGCATTGTATCAAATATGCAATGGAGACAGACCTGGTCAAATCTCTCTCTTCTCCTTTTGGATGAGCGGTGGAAGAGCAAGTCCTCTTCCCGGAGGAATGCATGTATGGCAGCTCGAAGAGCTGCATGGAAGAAAAGATACAAAAAAAAAAAACATAATCAAATTAATTAATGACTACACAAACTTTGACATCAGAAACAGTCTTCTGCTATAGACTCAGCTCGGATGAACTGCAATATATAGGCCCAAATATAGTGACACAAAGAACTACTTCAAGCCAATCTTTCTTGTAGCAAATGAATCTCACGTTTCTCACTTGACCTAGCATAACATATATTATGCTAATCAGCTATATATTACGTTTTAACTTCCCATATAATATTGAGACTACATCAAATGATAATATACAACAAAATGTTGCATCGTTCCATCCACTTGATATTCAATGGCATCAGATGAAAATCAACCATCTGGATGATATATTAATCTCATATTATAACTTGCAAACATGGTAGTGTAGTACACAGGTTAAGAACAAGTCATTCATGATCTAAAATTCTCCATACATTCAATATACTTGGAGACAACAGCTTATACTTACAGAGATTGGGTAATATTGAGTCTTCTGATATCGACAGCTGACAAGAGGGACATGCTTTCTGAAGATGCATTATGCAAATCAAAATCAGTTTAGTAATTCGGCCACTATAAGAACACTTGAACGATGAAAAAGGAAAAAAACCTATGGTACAATAGACTGATAAGAAAGTCAAGAGTGATTTAGACAAGCTCCGTGGAAGGTACCATATACCACATCATGTTTAGTGAAGGATTACATTTTAGTATGGACTAATGTGTAAAAACACCAGAAAAATACAATCTCTATTCCTTTTATCCCGACAATACTAGGGTTGGGAAGAATAGGCAATAGACAAGATATATTGCTTGAATCACTGTCCTCGATCAAGGACAGAAGTGGGGCATCACAGGTTGGGCAAATCAGAAGACACTTCGCCGTCAAGGAACAACAGCTTACAAGGAAAAAACAGTTCGATGAGAAATGCTATGGTAATCTGCATAACAGCTGTTACAGCAAGCAGCTTGGAATGACACTTGCATGTGCCAACTCCTGAAAACCATAATGCGCTAGTAAGTGCATTAGTAGAATTTTGATTGAACCTAGCAATCTTGAAAAATCTCTGCTACTTCACAATGTGCTTAAGAAACTTTGCTTCTCAGCTGTGTTTATCCATGGACATATTGCATGCAGGTTGCGATGATTGTCATGCTAGAGGATCCTGGTTGGAAGAGAGGTAGCGACATTGAAGCGAGCAAAAATGGTGTATTATTGTGGATGCACAACAAAGTCAAGCTTTGCATTTCTACCATAACATTAACTTGTCAGTATCCTAACAATATAGAGTACACAACAATCTTTAAGTTCCAACACCGGCACCTAAACGTCAGACTATAAGAAACCTAGATTGATGAAACTAACATTCCGAAGAGTATGACCTAGCAAACAATTATGGAAATCGAATGTGGAGGATACATAACACGAAAATAACTACCTATACAGGGCAAACATAAAGAAAGTGTCGAAATGAATGGATCTTGCCAATGCAACATCCTTATTTGCCAATGTCTTGTGCATGCTAAGTCAAAAAAAGAAATTCCTGCCAATCAGTTCCCAGACTTAATAGTCCTCTCTTATTCCAAAAAGCCATTCCAACAATCCTAATCGCAATCCATTTCGGAGGAGTGACTCATTAAGTCCCCATAGTATCCCATGTGTTAATATGTTTCAAATTCCAAGTCTTAAACTCCAATTAAGATCTCAATCAAAATATGGATATCAAAATATTGAAGAACCCACCATCTTAATTACATGTTGTATTCCACCACCTCCAAAGGAATGTCCACATGGCAAAATCATTGCATCATCCATAAGAGCTCCCCTGCATTTAAAAACGAGATGGTCACAAAAGATTTTCACCGAGAAAAATATATTTTTGAAAATAGAGAACAACCAATAATAGCCACAATCTATAATCAATGTTAGAGACCTTTAAAGGGAATTACATAGAGAGGTCATACATCTTCACTCCAATCCCATGCTTTTAGCAAGAGGTACATTCCTTACAGTTTTCCTATCGGAACGGATTACAAGTGTTCAGACACAAGTTCACAGCAGAAGACAATTGCTGGTATACATGCAAGTGCCAGAACACGGACTTGTTTGGGTTTCAGAAAGTAGAGATAAACGGTGTATCAGTAGTTCCATTTGGCAATCGACATCTTAAGTATAACCTAACTTGTACCACAGAAATTGACAATGAAAAGCCATAAAGTAGCAATGTAATTGAAAAGCAAATGAAAGGTACGTTTGTTTCGGGGAAAATCAACGATCTGAAAAACATTTTCCTAAAAATGATCATTTCTATCGCTTACAAAAATGAATGAATGAAAAATATTTTCATCAGCAATGAAAATGTTTTAGTGTAGACCGCTATTGATAATGAAAACATTTCCTCTGACCAATCTTTTTAAACAATACAAATATTCATTTTTAAGAAAATGCTTTCTAAATCATTTATTTTTCGCGAATCAAATGGACCCCAAGTTTTCTATCGTTTCATTGAAGAAAAAAGGGATGAATGAAATGAGCCCCACAAGAGGTTCCTGAACACAACTAAGCTGAAACAGAGAAACAAACAAGATAAATTGGCTATTACTGAAAATTTAAAAAAGATATTCGTTACATTGGCTTCAACTTGCGTTACCAGCACGAGATTCAAGAGAAGAACATCATTACATAAGAGGACGTTGCTTTAATAAGTCACATTCCACCTGATCAATTTAGAACAATATCTACAATTTTCCTGGCTCTAAGCCACTAAATAGAATCTTTCATGACAGACAAAAACATAACGGACGTAAGCTAAGGCAACACTAGATTAAGTCAGTATAATTAGATATAACGACAAAGGCATGCAACATGCATTTCGCCAACAATGCTGCTCTGTGCAAACAGGTGTCACAAACTATTTATCTTGAATATGCATAATAACTTCCATGTACAAGCAAGAGACCAATATTTCACATGAATATCCATCATCATACAGGAAGCTCCACATTCCTAGTCCATAAACCATGTAATCAGCCTAATTTTCCAGAAACTACGTAAGAATGACGTCTCCATTATTAATAGTTTTCTCATCACATGCATAATGACCACCCCAATCAAACTAACTACCCATAAAAAGGAAATAATCTGCCACATAAGTATGCCAGGATAAATGCTATGGATACAGCATTGAGCTTACGTCAAAGGGTCCGAGAAAATGTCTCTAAACGACTCTCCTGAATCACTGGATAACAAACCATCCTTTCTTCCGCTAAACCCACAACCACTGTCCACAGCTACCGCATCCTTCTGTCCTCTACCGGATCCTTCTCCTCGCAAATACTGTGAGTAATACAATTCACCATCCGGCTCCGCAATAGTGACCGCATTCTCAAAATTCCCCATTCGCACTCGCTGCTGATGAATCTCGCCGCAGCTCCCTCTCGCGTCACTCGCAACTTGTCCACAGTTGCCATCGGTCACTACAACTACTTCTCTACCAGACCCTAGAAAGAAAAAAAAAAGCACCACTCATGATCAACACAGTAAAAAAAAAAAGCTTCAAACTTGAGAACTTCGAGTGATCCAACCTTGAAACGTGGAAACCCTCTCAGTCACTTACCGAACAAAGGCCCGAACTTCGTCTTTCCATTGCTCAATTTCACCACCCCACCACTGCTATTGCTCTTGTTGTGATTGCCACCGCCGTCCTTGTTACTATTAGCATCGGTTTGAGCCCTATTCGATTCACCAACAAACCCTCCAAATGCCTCCTCCTCCTCCTCCTCCTCCTCGTCCACGTCGTCGTCCTCATCATCGTCCTCATCCTCCTCGTCGTTGCCCTCCGAACCATCGCCGCTCGAGTCGTTGTTGTCGGACCAATTCCGGGGCGCCCCCGCGTCGGGGTCGCCGGCATACGGGCCGTGGCGGAACTCGGAGGGCTGGGGATGATGGTGCGGCGGCGGCGGCGGCGGCGGGTGCGGCGGGTGCGGCGGGGGGAAGTAGCGGGATTCGAGGAAGCCGGAGTGGATTTCGCGGGGCTTGGGAACCGGGTCGCCGGCCGCCCGGTTCGGCGGGGCGGGGCTGCTGGTGAAGCGCAAGGGGGGTTCGTCATGGAAGAGGAGCTGCGAGTTGAGGCCGGTGCCCATTTCGTCGCCGGACATTTTCATCTGCTAGAGCCGGAGAGATTTGAGGGTTCTCCTCCTCCTTCTTGAGCCTGAATTTGTAAAAAAGCGATCTTTTTCGCGGGGTACAGAGAGAGAGAGAGAGAGAGAGAGAGAGAAGTGTGCCTGGAGATTCTACGTTGTCGGGACTCTCGAGCGTTCTTTAAGGTTCTTTCCTCTCGACCCACCGTTAAGATGAAGAGAGAAAAAAAAAACAGTGCGACAAAATTGACTTTTGTCCGTTGAAATCTTTTGTATTGTAGTTACCCAAAATGTTGTCGTAAAGATTCACGACCCGTTATGATGGATCCGCCCTTGATGGACCGTCGAATTGTCGACCGTGACCCATGTCACGCATCGGGTAAATTAGCAGAAATTTCATGGACGAGCGCTCGAAGGCATTCTTCAAGACCCGGATGATCCGTAGAATTTCTGATGCACGATCAAGCACGTCTAATTGGAACGAGCCCTTTTCACACATGTGCATTGAAGCACATTCCATATCAAAAAGATTTTGCTAATAAATATCCGAGTAAATGGAATCGTCATCTTCAGTATATGTGTAATTAATGCATCGGAATATGAAAATATTTTCTTATAAGTATAGACCACGAAGGGCTGGCAATTTGTGCCTCGCGGGGCATCGCACTGAAGTGGGGAACTTTTTCCTAGAGGTGAGTAAGATGGACCGCCCAAATTGGGACCGGACCAGACCAACCGGTTTGGCAGGCAATGGGTCCGGTAATAGCCTTTAACTATCCTTGCGAATCCGTCATTTGTATTATTTAAAACATATATATTAATAAAAGGGTAAAAGTCATAAAAAAATCTTAAACTATACTCACCGTGACATATTTATCCTAAATTTTTTTTGTGATACCAAAAAATCTCAAACTTGTACCTGTGTAACACATTTACCTTTCGCCAAAGTTTTGTCGATGAAAACCATTAAAAATTTACCTGCAACGACGCCAGAATGCAAGCGATGTTGACATGACGCCCGCGAGACTTAAGTGAAATAAAAATGATATTGTTTTGGCCAAAAAATCATCTGACAGAACCTTGATAGAGGGTTCACATAGGTACAAGTTTTGGGCCTTTTATGTCACGAGAAAAGTTCAGGGTAAATGTATCACAGTCGGCATAATTTGAGATTTCTTTGTAGTTTTTTTCCCGCAATAAAATGATAATAAAATAAGATCCTAAAGATAACCATTCTTCTTACAAGTCTTGCTTTTACAAGAGACGTGTAAGCTTCTCTTCTTACAAGTCTTGCATTTTATAAGAGATGCAAGCATGGAAAGTCGTCCAGGCAAAGGTATGTAGGGGTGTGTGGTCGTGATGGCGCCCACTTCCATATCTACAAAACAAGCAATTTTTCAGTACTGCCGGTGGCAATCCAATGCTTGTGACACGTGAGACAAGAATTTCTGCAAAAAAGAAATCCAACCTTGCAATGTGCGACATTTTAATACAATTACGTGTATATTAACATGTAACTGAGTCAACATGCGTCGATTCTTGTTGGCTGTTGTGAAAATTTGTAGTACCACAACCAAATTCGGTGCCAAATTCCACCCTAGTATATTGCGAATGAGAGGCTCACATTGCATCAACTTGACGTGTCATTCTTAGTCCGGTTTGCACGTGAGATTGGGTATTAAAGTATCATTTACACTGTCAGAAGAGAAAGTGGGTTGCATTTTATGCCGTGCTCTATCCTAAGACTAAAACATGGAAATATACAGTAGTAGGAGAGTTGAATAGGAGTTTGAAAAGATTTAAACTCGGAATCTCCTACTCTGATATTATGTTGGTAAGTCGAACTCAAAAGTTTAAGTTGTAAGGATAAACTTGCACGTATATCGGTATCAGAGTCGGAAACCTCGAGCTCAATTCTTCACACTGCGTCTCACCCATTTACTGGGTTCCCTTTGTTGTGCGCAGTTACACTTCAAAATGTCTTCCGCCCCGACGCATCGGGTTAGCACGCTTAAGGCCTTCGTCATCAAATCGATTTTCGCAAGAGGAGAAATTTTAAGACATAGAATATATCTTGCACACCCAACTCGACTAACTTAGAATGTTTTTGCTGGATTGTAACCTGCTTCATCGTACCCGACTTCCACATACATCCGAAAGTGCACCTACATCCTCTGTCTCTCTCCCAAACTTCACCGCCGAATTCGATGCCCTTCTCCAATGTCAATGTCAAGGTCGAGAGTTAACCCTCTGGTGGGTGCCCCCGTTCGGGCCCTCCGATGCACTAGCGGCCGGCTCCGCCGGAGCAACCGAGTCTGAAAGTGAAGCACACTGCAGCACCGCGGAAGGCCCTGTTTTAAGCAGAGACAGAGGAAGGCTTTCTCATGGCTTTGTCCTCTGTTTCGGCGTCCAAAGCGAAGTTCTTCCTGAGACGACACAGCCACCGAATCATGCGCTCCATGAAGCTGCAGCGGTACCGAATCTTCGCGGCGCTGTTGTTGGTCGTGATTCTATGGCGACGATCCAACGCGTCGCTAGGCTCCTGGAAGGGCTCATCGAGAAAGCCTCTTGGAGGGGAAAGCATCAAAGTGGCAGTATATATTTTTCCGCTAGTCCCATTTGCCTTTCTTGTTTTCTTCATGTCCTTTTTGATCAAGTTGAAAGTCTTCTTGATCGAGGGTCCAATGGTTTCTTGAAAGCAGGTTTTGCCCACGGGCCAACCCAGCGTGGACAAATCAGATAAACATAGCTCCGAGGTGGCCCGGCTGGTGTCGGATTCGAGTGGTGGTGAGATTGCGGCTGGTGAGAACTGTTCGGCGGTGTCACTGTCCGGGACTTGCCAAGGGAAGAACTTGACTGCATGTGCGCATCAGTATGGTGCCGGAAATGGTAAAAAGAAAAAAGGAGGCCTAACTTTTGATCGATTTGCAGATTGATGTCAATACTCATAAAGCTCTCAAGCCTCTCTTAAGGATTTTGCTCTGAGCAGAATCGATGTGTGGTGAAACAAGTCGATTACTCAAGTGAAATTATTGCTCAGCATCCGGCATTGCCATTATACAAGTTGGAGAATTTTGAAAATTTATGGGAAAAGGAAATGATTCGGTTGATCCTTCTATTTGCAGGTACAAACGAAACATTTCTCTTAATCTGGAACCGTGAAGAGACTCCTCTGTAAGTGAAAGTGAGATTCTTGCCTGCTAATATCACTACCGACGAAATTCAAGTGGCGAAACCAAAAAAGCCAAGTGAGCTACCATACCTTCTTCCTGCCTTATGTGATTGTCATCTTCTTACACATAAAACTCAACAAGATGTGAAGTCGATTGCTGAGACTAATGGTTGCCATCTTCGTGAGGATATGATTACATGTTATGATTTGTTTCAGGTTAATATCACCTCGTATGTCGGAGGAAATTCTTCGATCTTGTTGGATTCAATCGTGTTGGATGGAGGAGAAGGGGGTTGTGTCGTAGACATGGTATAAATATGCTACTTTCTCCGATCAGCAATGCCTCGAGTATTGAATTTGTTTTCGATTTTCAAAGGGCATGTGAATGTTTGATTCTGATTGCTTCTGTCGATGCAGGTCTTTCCTTTGCCGTCTCCCCCTTTAATTACGTCTGGATCGGATAAAGGGAGCTCCAAGGTCGGTTCAACCCTCGAGTGCTTGGTGCCGTCCAAGAGTTGCCAAGTGAAGAACTTGACTGCCTGCCTCCATTACGATCGCAACAGCACGAAAACGTTCTCTCTGCTTTTCATCTCAATCTCAGTGTGACATTATAGGCCTGAACTTGATCTAGATTTATTCTGCCTAAATCGTCAAGGAAATGCTCAGACTTCATTCTCTCTGTTTGTTGCAGCTACAAAGGGAACTTTACTTCTAGTCCAGAACGGTGGAGAGATTCCTCTGACAGTGAAAATCACTTTGTCACCGGCTAATATCACTCTCAACAAGGCCGAATTACCTTACCAACATTGGAAGACGGTAAGCATTATCTTCTTGAAAAGTTCGATCCGATACACGTGAACCCGCAGGTATTTTCTTACATAGGCAGGCTCTTGTTCTGATGTGCCATGTTCTTGTGACTTTGCAATTCAGGTAATTGTGACAGACCAAGTTGGTGCAAATTCTTCAATACTATTGAGTACTGGAGAATGGCATTGTGTGGTTGACATAGTCTCAGAAAGCAGCCCTCCAAGGCAGTTCTCTGCTTATGTATGGGTCCTGCTTTGCGTCTCTGGAATCCCCGCAGCGGCGTTGGCGTATTGGAAGTTGCGGGCGGCGGCACGTAGGGCGGACGAAATACAGTACGAACAGCTCGAGATGGGCATGGCAAACACAAACTCCATCAGAGGAAGAACATTCGAAACAGCGGAAGGAGGCTGGGATGAGAATTGGGGCGATGGTGATTGGGATGGAGTGAAGGCAGTGAAGTCACCAAGTAGTGTGCAAAAAGGGAATCTCCTTGTAATTGGCATTAAAGATGATTAGGGGAATGATTATATTAGTTTGTTAATTATGTCCTATGATCATGACTTTGGTCTGTGATTTGGGCTCTACAAAATTCGAATGGGGGATTTCAATTTTCTCTGTTCCTAAGGATTTTTTCATGATCCATTCCCGAGTAGTGTACATGGGTATGACATAGATTTTTCGAGCTAAAAGGATAGAATGATTTCAAGTCGTATGATGATGTCGAATAACGAGATTAAGGCCCCGTTTACTTCATGAAAAATGAATAATTTGAAAAAAAAATTTATTAAAAATAATTTCTTGTATTGCTTGAAATAATTAGTTGATTAAAAATATTTTTCATTATCGACAATAATTTATGTCTAAACATTTTTGTGGATAATGAAAAAAAAATTTCATTCATTCATTTTTCTAAGCGAAACAAGAAATCATTTTTAGGAAAAAGTTTTCTAAATCATACATTTTCTGTGAAACAAGCACAACCTAAATAATAGACGCCGGTGTTACAATTCATTAGCCACTTTGGACGACTTTGTTAGTGTGCTGTACAGAATTACTAAATGGGTTTACTAAAACAATTTGATCCACTTTAGTTGATGATTTAGGTTAGCAAAACTATCGTCAGAAGTACTTTAGTGCTAGTGTCCAAGGACTTATCGATTCAAAAATTAGCAAGCCGCTCATCAGAGCAATTTCCTTCTTGAAAGTTATACTGCATTTTAAATCTCAAAGTGAGAGTACAACAACATTCTGATATATTTAAGCAAAGCAAGGCCAGCATTATTAACCATAAGTTCTGGCCTGAAAAGATAAGTAATGGCTCTAGACTCAATCTCAATGATGATCTTCTAAAAACCAAATTGTTTTGCAAAGTTGATTCCCAAGCACAAAACCCAAAGTTCTGCTTGTGCCGACGAACAAATTCCTACAAATGCAGCAAAACCAACAAGCCGGTCATCCTCTCATGTCTAAATAAACCCCATGTGCCAGCTAGTTCTGGGTTGCCGTTAGAGGCCCCATCAGTACTCAGTTTAACTAGTAGCATATTTGTGCATTGCATAAACTCGTTTTAAGAAAAAACACACACACACACAAGTTGAAAAAAAAAATGTAATTCTTCCATTTTCATTTAAAAAAGAAGAAGAAGAAGAAGAAGGTTCCTTAAATTTATGGAAATTCACATTGTCCTCCGGGGCCTTAATCAAAATCTAGTTGGGCTTGGGCTTTTTCATTGAAAAGCCCATGATTCTCGAAACCCCATAAACCCTACAAAAGAGTCCATGACACTCGCGATCTTCCAATTCTGTCATTGGATTTCAGAACTTCTTGTTGAAGAAGAAGAAGAAGAAGCAGGAGGAGGAGACATCCGACGAGATGGCAGCGAGCCTCAGCGCGAAGCAGGCGATGGTGTCTGCGCTCTGTAAACGCTTCTCCTCGGATCCTGTGAGCTCGCTGATCCCTTTTCGATTAAGACCGATTCGATTCTTTTGTCCGAGCATGTCTTCTTCCACGCGCCTCTCTCTCCCTCCTTGCGCGACGCCAGGGCAGATGGGCATTTTGTTCCGATCACAGCTAACGTAGAGACATTCCAAAAATCGTTGCTTCTTTTTTTTTGGGGGGGGGTTTCTGAGCATGTAAGAAGTGGTTGGGGATATCTTGCGGGGGAGTGATGGTTTGGCAGCTTTCTGGGTGAAGATGGTGTCCTGATTGTTTCTGCATGTGGGTCATCCTATGAAGGGAATGATTGCCTTTTGATACATTTGTTGAGAATTTTTTGGGTTCTCTCGCTCCATGGACTAGCTTTTGGTGGCACTCAATCTTGAAATAGCCATGGATATGGATTGCTCTTTCGACTTGCGCCTCGCCCGAAACTTGGTTAATGCTTGCTCAATTCCTATCTGGGGCTCGATTTTCAGATTATCTAATATAGAAAGGGCACTTGTTGAGGAAATGCGGTGTGGTGAAATCATCTAGTTGGTTGCACTTTTGTAGACCATTTAGATTGGTCAACCGTTCTTCAGGAAAAAGGGTCCTGCAGCTTGTTTTTGTCTGAGTTCATTAACTTTCAATGGCCATTTTCGTTTCTAAATTGGAAAGATCGGTTTTTGCAGGCGGCCTTCTTAAGTAAGGCTGGTGAGCACGATATTAAGAGCTTGCTTTCAGACATCTTGAAGTCATCAACAGACAGGGCTTCTGCCGATCACAATGAAGAGGTAAATTTAGTCATCTTGATCTATGAAATTCTACTCAGCAGTAGGAAATAATTCATCGATCCGAGGGAAACATGCCTAGAGCAAAGATAAATGTCAGTGCTTGGACTACTGCGTAATTTCTTTTTCAAGGCGAAAAGAAAATTACAAGGAACGGTTATGAGGGATGTCGTCCAATCTAGAAGATGGTACCGAAGTACCACATCATACACAAGAAAGGTTTAGCTAACAAGAGTAAACTTAATAGCAATCTTAATTTTAATATTCTATCTTGCGCATGATGCTACCAATTAGGGGTCCCTTTTTTTCAAATATCTTAGGATTTTCTCCACCTACGGGTTCATAAGCACAATTTCTGGTTGTAGGTGACAAAGTGGATAGAATTCGCAGAGAGCTTCCCTGTGAATACCAAGGCATGCATTGATGGCCTCAGCAAATTGAATGAAGATTTGGTCCCAAAATCAGTTCTCCTAGGAAATGGAGTCACACCCTCCGAAGCTGATGTTATTGTTTTCTCAACAATTCATTCTTCTGTGGTACGCAGTACTCACTGTTTAAAAGTGTACAGCATGCTACTTCTCCGAATATTGAATACTTGTAAGGCTTCATGGCCTTTTACCACTCTGAACATGAAACCGGATGGTCTCTGACTGTTTCCTTGTTCCCAGGTTGGCCTTTCAAATATGGATAGGCAAAAGTTACCACATCTTATGAGATGGTTTGATTACATCCAGGTGTGGTTCGAACCCATTAACTTTCCATAATAACGGTACAATTCATTAGTCTTATATTTTGGCTACCTAATGATAAATATGTTTTAGATATACATATTTGCTATGGATTGTTGATTGAATCTTATTCAGTATCTGGCTTGGGCCTGCGGTGCCCATCAGACTGGTGGTTCCTGCACCTTTTAATTCGTTATCAACGTACTACTTCTGTCTGAATTACACTCTTCGTGCTCTTATACTTCATTCTTGCAGCACAAGGAGCATTTTGGGGAATCTTTTGAAAAGATAACCTTGGAGAAGGCTATATTTGCACCTCCGGTAAGTTCTTCTGCTTTTTTGTGTTTAATTGTCCATGACTAATGGTGAGGTGGAGTTTAAGACCATATATTGTATTATAGGGCTAATGACAAGACATCATACTGTCTTTGCTTTCAATTCCATGAGTAGGATATGCTGGCAATATGTAATGCCATGTGATTGTCGATTGATTGCTTGATTTTGGATGGCAGGAACCCAAAATCGTAGCTAAGTCAGATGAGGATCCGAAAACAAAAAAGACTGTAGAAAGCTTGAAATCTGCGGATAAGTCACAAGCAGACTCAAATACAAAGAAAAGCGACGTATGTTTTTCTTAAGTCACGGATTTCTTCCATTGTAATGGTGCTTTTTTATGCTTTTCGTTCACTATTCTCCTTTATAATTATACCATCGATGTGCATGACTCTCTTGCTGTACGAGGATGCACACGAGCTCACTTGTTGAAGCATGGCTTTTGAGTTTTGTTTTTTGATCATAAATTACCGTTGGTAATCTAATATTGAACACCTTAATTCTTTGAAAATATATAGGTTTTTTCATTTAGAGCTCTGCTAATTTTTTGATTGACTATTTATTTCTTTTTCACAGTTTTAGAAAATTAGAAAAGGGTTTTTACTGCATGACATAAGCTATAGGTGGGAAGTATGATACCCCATCTTTCTATCTACTTGCTTCTAGTCTTTATGTCGAAAGTCGATAAGTTGTGGGGGTGAGGTCCACCCAACTGAAAATAAACACTTAGAAAGTGAAAATACTACACATGAACCAAGAAAATTTGAAGACAATTCAAATGTACTTATCGATACCATTTTATTTTCAAAATTTATAATGACAGGTGTGTATCATTCCTCGTGTGGGTAACAGAAAGGAGTGTTAAGATTGCTTGTGTCAGCTGTAAGGCAGCTGTAGGGAACTCTCTTTTTACTCTTATAGAGTTGCCATGTCATAGAGGCCATGAGATCACGAGGAATTTTCTCCAAAAACATGAATATGGGATTAGAAAAATATTCACTATGTTTGGTACAAAGACTTGTGTTCAATGCCCAAATTTGATGGGCACAAACAATAATAAAGACAGATGAAGTTATCTGGGACATGAGCCACATTGCACACAATTGAGCAAGATCTTTTTTGAGTATACTGCTTGTTTACCATGCATTAACTTTTTTTTGTTGTGTCAAAACTATCAGAAAAAGGGCAAGGTAGATGGTCAAGCTAATCAAGAGAGCAAGAAAGCACCAGGAAAGGAACCTGCTGAAAAAGACAAAGAAATTGATGTGAGCTTGCTCAATATACGGGTTGGCCTCATTAGGAAAGCATGGAAGCATCCATCTGCTGATAGGTGTGTTTTTGAGATACCCTCTCACTTCCCCTCAAAAGCACAAGCTTTTGTTAATCACAGTCTTCTATTCTGCCTCGTCTTGTAAACTTTTAATTCTGGTATGATAGTCATGCAAAGTGCAGAGGTTAATTTCTAAAGTTCCTTTCTTGGTTTGGTGGTTCAGTTTACTTGTTGAAGAAATTGATGTTGGAGAGGCTAAATTGAGGCAGGTTGTTAGTGGCTTGGCCAAATATTGCAGTCCAGATGAGTTGACGGTATTGTAATTACCTCATTGCCTCAGTAAAGTAAGGAGCAGTTTAGTAAACTTTTTGGAAGCAGACCAATTTTCTCTCTTTTTTACTTGTAGAACCGGCGTGTCGTGCTCATTACAAATGTAAAACCGGGAAAGCTCAGGGATGTTATGTCTGAAGGCCTGGTATGTCTTCTGCTCTCATCTCTTTGAATATCAGTGAATTCTCTTCATTCATTAAGCTTCCCTGTTTAAAAAAACTATATTTTGTGAGAAGCTACATATGGAAAACATATTAGAAGTTCTTTGCTCCTCGAAAAGTACTTTCTAGGTTGTATTGGACAAAATTGACATGTGTGTGGCTAGAATATCAATAGCTTCATGGTGAGAATTGTTGGTTTCGTTATCATCTCTTAACCAGTGGTGATGGCTCTGCATGCATCTGTTTGTGGCTAGAATTTCAATAGCTTCATGGTGAGAATTGTTGGTTTCATTATTTATCATCTCTTAACCAGTGGTGATGGCACTGCATGCATCAACGTATCGATTAAAGATATTTCAGTTCATACCTAGCCTATTGCAGCTGCATAAATTCCAGTTTTCAGGGGTTCAGCTTTGAGTCTAAACTTTTAGTTTTGCTTCTGCGTAAGCTGACTGCTCGTGAGACTATTGATCAAGTTAAAGTCCTTTACTGGTATAGCAGGATGAAGCTGTTTCTTCATGTGATTGTATGTTATGTGCCACCATAGTCTTTGTCATTTGATCATCGCGCACTTGCCTAGAAATTCTTATAGTTTGCTACTTATGAAGAACACACTTTTTAGAGAAAGATCATGGTTAGCGGAACAGTTTCATCCAATTGTCCACAAAATTTGATTCAATTTGTCATCTTTCAGGTGCTTTGCGCTTCTAACGAAGATCACTCGGTTGTTGAGCCTTTGCTCCCTCCAGAGGGCGCTAAACTTGGGGAGCTGGTCTCATTTTCTGGGTGAGCCTGGAAAACTTTGTCTGAGATTTACTTACCTGAACACCTCCTGTTGCCAATTGCCTTTTGTGGAAGCATATGCACGTTACCAAATTAACTGCGTATGAGGAAATTTAGAAAAATTATGGGCACGCTTGACTAAAGCCAACTCCAAAGTCTACTTTACTATTCACAGTGTTAAAGCACTTCCTATCTTGCATGTGAGCATACACACACTCATACACGATCGATCACCTGAGATTGATTAATCTATGTTGATCTATCTGTGTTGATCTTTCGACATTCACATATGCAGACACATTTGTAAAGCCATTCCCTCGACAGATTAGATTTGTTGGCAATAGGATTCGATGTGTGACATCCAGATAGCAATTGTTATTTCTCTTCAAAGTGATGCACTTCCTATTTGATCAATCGTCTACTTCCAGCTGTGTTATCGAACATTGGCTTGGAACATATTCAATAAAACACGCATATCAGATAAAATATTGGTACGGATCTTAAGCATCAAACTTTTGCTTCCTTTTGCTCATATGCCGTAGCTGGTTCTCTATTTAGGATTGATGGAAAGCCAGAAGAAGTTCTGAACCCTAAGAAGAAGCAGTTGGAGAAGATAACACCGGTATTTTTTCTAACTGTTAGTTTATCGTCTTCTTGATCAAGACTTTTTCAGCTTGAATTTTAGATTGCTCTAGGTGGTCCACTCTTCTTCTTCTTCTTCTTCTTCTTCTTCTTCATACGAATGGCTTCTGTGTTCAGCCAAATTAATTATAGATGGCTTCTGTGGAATTGAAATTGCCAACTGTGTTTATGGTGCAGCATCTGTTTACTGATGAGAAAGGCGTTGCTACATATAAGGGTACACCGTTTATGACTTCTGGTGGACCATGTGTTTCATCCATTCCTAAGGCGAGCATCAAATGAGCTAATGTCGATGAAGTGGATCTTTTCGCAATTTTGAACCCACATTCAACTCCACCTCAGAAGTTTCTAAGAAAATAGATCTCCTTTGTATGTGCATGACTCCATCAGACGAAATTGTCATGTATAATGTCACTCGAAACTCTCATCAATGTGATCTAACACGCGAGTTCTTGGGACATCTCGCTCTTATACATTATTCGGAAATTCATGAGTAAAACAAAAAGGCTATACTGGTGGAAATGCCTTTGATGGGTGATGGTCTTCTTCTATCTCCCCTACAAATTGAGGAGACTTCATTGCCTCTTGAACTCTTTCTGCCTCTGTCTCTCGGTGTCGACGACGTATTCACTGTGATGGGATTTTGATGGATCCAATATGCTATATGTGCTCGGGTAGATGAGTTGAAATGTTGGGTGACCCAAGTTAGTTTGAACTTCAAATCATTTTTGTTCACCAATCACAAGTCTGCCGATTGATCATACCTGCCTGAGTAAAATCTGCTCATCAACCGAGTTATATTATGACTTGGGTTTGGCTCATGTCTAACCCCAATATGAAAGGGAGAGAGAGATTATTTTTTGGTTAATTAAGGGTGCGCATGGAATGCATTCCGGAATAAAAATTCTGTTCCGGAATGCATTCCCGAACAGAATGGCGTTTGTTAAAAAATTTCCGGAATGCATTCTGGAACAATTTTTGCATTCTGGAATAAAAATGCGTTTGTTAAAAATACTTGATTCCAGAATGCATTTTTTATTCCAGAATGAGTTTTTGGCAAGAAAAAGAGAAGCTACTTTTTGTAGCTTCTTGATTCCGGAATGCATTCTCCCTATTTTTTCATAATTTTTTTTTTTCAGAAAATGCATAAAAATTGAAAACTTCTAGAAAAAATCATAAAAATTTCCAGAAAATAAAAAAAGTTAGATTTCGGGAAAATATGAAATTTGGTGAATTTTTTTTTAAAAAATCAAAATTTCAAAACTTCACATAATAGCTTAAAATACTCGTGGCTACCCACTTTGAGTGAAATTTAAATTTTTTGAGGTGCCCAAAAAAAAATAATAATAAAATAAAAATTTTCAAAACTTCACAAAATGGCTTAAAATATCTGTGGCCACCCACTTTGAGTGAAATTTAAATTTTTTGAGGTGCCCAAAAAATAATAAAAATTTCAAAATTTCACAGAATGGCTTAGAATACCTGTGGCCACCCACTTTGAGTGAAATTTAAATATTTTGAGGTGCCCAAAAAATAATAAAAAATTTCAAAACTTCACAGAATGGCTTAGAATACCTGTGGCCACCCACTTTGAGTGAAATTTAAATTTTTTGAGGTGCCCAAAAAATAATAAAAATTTCAAAACTTCACAGAATGGCTTAGAATACCTGTGGCCACCCACTTTGAGTGAAATTTAAATATTTTGAGGTGCCCAAAAAATAATAAAAAATTTCAAAACTTCACAGAATGGCTTAGAATACCTGTGGCCACCCACTTTGAGTGAAATTTAAATTTTTTGAGGTGCCCAAAAAAATAAAAAAAATAAAAATTCAAAACTTCATAAAATGGCTTAGAATACCTGTGGCCACCCACTTTGAGTGAAATTTAAATTTTTTTAGGTGCCCAAAAAAAATTTAAAAAATCAAAAATTTCAAAACTTTACGAGAATGGCTTATAATACCCGTAGCCACCCACTTTGAGTAAAATTTAAATTTTTTAGGTGCAAAAAAATCAACAAATCAAAGCAGATTTCGGAGCGGAATTAGTCATGTTTTACCAAACAGATTTCTCCTCCAGAAATCAATTTCTGGCAAGAATTCAGAAATCAATTTCTGGCAAGAATTTGATTTCTGGAGCAGAATGGTTACCATTCGCGCCCTAAGAAGCTTAGCTCATTTTTGGTTAAATAAGAAGCAAAAAGCTTATATGCCTGACCCTTACCAAAAAAAAAAAAAAAGCTTATATGCCTGACTCATTTTAAGGTTCCTGCCCTCGCCGAGCCTCGTTGCGCCAACCTCCCAAAATCGTGGGATCACTCTAAGTTCTTTATTTTTTTTTTAAAAGTGGCTTTTTTTTCTTTTGTTTTATCTTTTTGACTCTTTTTGGATGTCGTGCCCATATTGCTATATCAGTGCCATGTGACCTCGAGAGACATTAAGAAAAAGTAATGTTAGCATTTTCGTACTTCAAATTGGACGAAGCTAACAAAAATATTTAAGTGTACTTTTTTTTATAAGTTTTAGATCTTAATTACATTTTAAGACTTAAATTGCATTTTCGATACAAGTTTTAAGATTTCTAGTGCGGTTATCTCTTTTTCATTTTGCTCTTACAAATGACCTCTCTTAATGCCCAAATGATAAAAGAAATCTACACAATTACAGATACAACATGCGCTCGAGATTTTTCACCTATCCAATTCGAGAAAAGACAATGTATCATATTGTTTAGGACTTCGATGTTATACCAATCCTTGTTATTATAGAATAAAGCTTGTGACTTCTCTCTAAGTATCAATGGTAGTAATAAACCTAAGGGCACAAGCACCATTTCTTTTTTCATGTTAGACCTTATTTTCTCTTCATAGGTTGTTTTTTTTTTCTTACTCTCGGCTTTAGCAACCCAATCAGCTACTCAATTGGACTCTCTACCAATTATTGGATTCCTAAGAAATTGACTAAAAAGAAATATTTTAGCGATTTGGGTTCACTTCGATTTTGTTTTTGGTTCCCAAGATCAGTGAAATGGAAAGCCCGGTTCGGTTTCCCATTCAAAATGAACGGCACCGATCGGACCCAGCTTTGCCAGCTTAATTGCAACACAATGTCTTTTGATATTTCAATTCAACGGGAACCAAATGGCAAAGTTTCAAACTTTTTGAGGGGGTGAATCCTTGGCACCATGATTTACTCGTAATATTCTGCTTCTGCTTCATCTTTGATTGGATATCATGCAGTTGCACTGATGGTGCTGACATGCACTTCAGCCCAATCTCTTTCACCCGGAGACTTTCCACTCTGATTGAATCACATCCTTCCACGTCCTTTATCAGTTCCAAGATCAAATCTTTAGTCCAACACTCTCAGTACGCAGAGGCCCTGAAGTTGTATTCGCCTGCAAATGCCACCAAATTCGCCTTCCCTTCCCTTCTCAAGGCCTGCGCTTCTCTTTCCAATCTTTGCTACGGAAAGATCGTTCATTCTTCGGTTCTTGCTCTGGGCCTGCGAAATGATTTGTACATAGCGAATTCGCTCGTCAACATGTACGTGAGATGTGGGTCTTTAGATGATGCCGTCAGGGTGTTTGATGAATTGGCCGGGAGTCAAGCATCGATTCAGGATGTCACCGTCTGGAACTCTTTAATAGATGGGTACTTCAGATATGGCCATCTTGGGGAGGGTATACATAAGTTTGGTGAAATGCAATTGTTGGGTGTAAGGCCTGATGAGTATACTCTTTCTATTCTGTTAGGAGCTTGTGATGGCCTTTTGGGATGTATGCAGGGGAAGCAAATTCACGGTTATGTTGTCAGGAACATGTTCAGTGGTGACACTTTCTTAGAAACAGCTTTGATTGACATGTACTCAAGTTGTGGGAGACCAAGGGATGCGTTCATTTTGTTTGATAATCTGGTGGACAGGAGCAATGTAGTAGCATGGAATGTATTGATAAGTAGGCTCACTGAGAATAACCTGTGGGAGTATAGCTTGAGATTCTATTCATTGGCAAAGAATGAGAATGTGGACCTCGTATCAGCAACGTTTTCTAGTGCCTTAAGTGCTTGTTGCTGCGGTGGAGACATGTGTTTTGGCAGACAAGTCCATTGTGACGTGATTAAGATGGGTTTTCACGATGATCCCTACGTCTCTACTGCTACTTTAACTATGTATGCAAAGTGTGGATCAGTTCGAGATGCACACTGTCTTTTCTCTCAGTTAGAGAGAGAAATTGAGTCATGGAATGCGATGATCTCAGCTTACGTCAGTAATGGCTGCGTCCATGATGCTATGGAGGTTTACAACCAGATGAGAGCAAGTGGTACAAAGCCGGATTCCATCACATTGTCAAACATTTTAACTTCCTGTAGTATGGCTCTGCTTCATAATTTTGGAAGATCAGTCCATGCAGACTTGAGCAAGCTACCGATACAAAAAAATGTTGCTACACAGAGTTCGCTGTTGACTATGTACTCCAAATGTGGAAACATTGAAGATGCTAATTTGGTTTTTTCTTGCATGACAGTGAGAGATGTGGTAGCATGGGGTTCCATGATATCAGGTTTTTGCCAAAATGGGAAGTATGAGGAGGCTCTTGATTTATATAAAGAAATGAAAAATGATGGGATCAATCCAGATTCAAATATCATGGCAAGTGTACTTGATGCTTGTGCAGGGCTAGAGAAAATCTCTTTGGGTAAAGCCATTCATGGATCAGTGGTAAAGAGTGGACTGGCATCTGATACCTTTGTATCAAGTTCTCTTATTGATATGTACTCTAAATGTGGTTTGCCAGATACAGCAGCAGTTTTATTTTCTAATATGCCACATAAGAACCTTGTAACTTGGAATTCCATGATGTCATGCTATAGCCGAAATGATCTCCCTGAACTTTCAATCAATCTTTTTTCTCAAATTATGGAGCAAGGTAAAAATCCAGATTCTGTGTCCATCACAACTGTGCTTGCTGCAATTTCATCTTTAGCATCATTGCTTAAAGGAAAAACAGTCCATGGATATCTGGTAAGACAGGAAATTTTGTGGGATCTTCAAGTAGAGAATGGACTGATCGATATGTATATCAAATCTGGATGCATCAACTATGCTGAGCAGATCTTTCAAAAAATGCCACAAAGGAACCTGGTGACGTGGAACTCGATGATGTCTGGTTACGGAAATAATGGGGACTACCTTAAGCCCATCCAACTATTTGACGAAATGAGAATTTTAGGAATAGCTCCTGATAAAGTGACCTTCAGGTCACTGATCTCATCTTGTAGGCATTCTGGTTTGGTTGAGGAAGGCCTGAAACTTTTCGACTTGATGAAAGAGGGGTATCAGATTGAGCCCGAAATAGAGGATTATGTTAACATCATTGATCTCCTTGGCCGAGCTGGACGCTTGGATGATGCTTATCGTTTCATAGAAAGCATGTCCGTGGTGCCCGATAGAAGCGTTTGGCTCTGTTTGCTGTCTGCATGTCGAATCCACAAAAATGTTGAGCTTGGGGAAGTGGCAGCTTCCAACTTGTTGAGGATTGAACCAGACACAGGAAGCAATTATGTTCAGTTATTGAATCTTTATGGAGAAGCTGAGTTGCAGGATCAGGCAGCGCAATTGCGGGCTTCCATGAAAGAGAAGGGGTTGAGGAAGAGCCCTGGTTGCAGTTGGATTGAGTTGAGGGACAGAGTTGATGTTTTCTACTCGGGAGGTTCGTCGACCCAAAGTACTGGCGATATTTGCAATACGTTGACTAATTTAAATAGGAACATGGGAAAGATAGTTGTGGATGATACATGCATCGAGGCCTTCTAGTGTCCGTGGGAACGAGGGAGAACCCAAGTTACGAGATATGCGGGTTACTGAGCTCCAAGGAACAAAGAAAAAGCGGTCCTCGGACCACCTTACGATAGGTGCACCGACACTCAGAAAGTGCCATGAAATTATACAATAGCGATTAGATTCAAAGTTTGATTTGATTTTGGAAGCAAATTTATGCCGGAAATTGCTGAGGTATTCAGGTGTCAGAATTAGCTTTAGCGTGGTAGTCCTGAGAGGGAACATGGGAAGTGTTAGAACTTGGCTTTTCTCTTGGGATGTCAGGACCGGCTGGTGCTGGGTGATCTAGTACATAACATTGACAAGTCGTGAACAAAAAAGTTCCAGTTCTTTGATTAATATATAAGCATGCTCTGTTTCATGAGGAGTGGTTCATTTTCAGTATTGTCATTGTGCCATTCGCGGGTTTATCCTGCAATCGTATAGGCAAGAGGATCAAAAAGTTACTAACGCAATCCTCGGGCAATGTGGCGGTTCGAATTCGAGCATCAACAGCTTAGCGGAATTAAGCCCATCGACAGAGACAGAGAGATACAAGTTCAAGGAAACATTTTGCAGCTAGTTATAACGTTGTATCTCATAAGAATTCTTTTGCTATGTAAAGCTTATTGTATTTACACCTCAGATACTTGCAACTTCCATTCATCTGCCCCATCGTTTTACATCAAACCGACTAATAAGTTAGATCCTCCCCTTGCTCCCCTCCCCCTGTCATATGACGTTTATGAACTTTATTCTAATCTTTCTCGTTATTAGCACTTTCTATGAGGAAAAAAAAACAATCAAAGAAGTATACACTGTCAAAGGTTAGTTCCTGGCAGAGTTGTTAATTGCACCTGTGACTAGTAACAGATCGCAGGATGAGATAGAGCTGTTATTCTCTCTTGTCTTCGACTGCTTCTCCGATACTAAATACATGATGCTCAGCTGGAAGTGACATCTTCCTGTCCTTTCTTTCCAACTTGATAGCTACCTCAGAAGCCACCATAACTCCACTACTAGCAAGCAAGACACTCTCCTCTTCTATGTCATTCCCGGCCTCCTCAGAGAAGGCATATCTGTAAAATCAGCATAAGGTTAAACAGCAATGACATGCCTCACTGTATGAGGTGCAGAGATCGGCAAGATTGGCATTGCGTTAAATAAATTTCTGAAAGCTCATTGCTTTAATTGTTCCAAGTCCAGCCCCTTTCCAAGAATCCCAATAATTAGGCATGGAACTTTTTGTTTAATCAGTTTCCAAACATAACAGCAACTAGTATAGTTTAGTTTATTATAGTTTGGGTAGGCCAAATATCCTACTGGAAGCCTCCTAAATTTCAATATATACCGACAGAAATGATCCAATCTCATGCGTATATGAAAGTTTAGAGCTCTATATGACGAAAATTCGAAGAAAATACTCTCAGATGAAGTAGCAGCATCTAAAGGATAGGAATCAAGTTTCTGGAAGTACCTAGTTGGGTTATTCGATGGAACCCAGAGGACACATATCACCACCAACAGAACATATGCGAGCAAAATCCAGAAAGCAGGGATAATCCAAGCACTTCGCCACAGTTCACTCAAAGGGTCATTTGCATTATAATACAGCTGTAAAAAATTCAGTAACAAGAAAATCAATCACGGTCTGCTGGATAAGAAAATCAACAAAACCATCAGCTTTGATCATGTAAGAGTAACGGCATTATTACTTATGCAAGAACAAAGGATTCTGTTTTTGGCATAAATATAATTGAGCTGAGGAAAACGTCAAGCACCGAAAATTATAAAAGGATTTGCTAGAAAAGCCATTCAAAATACTACCAAATGCATATAGGAAAAGGAGTCGAGGGAAAATATAAATTCAGCAGACAAGCCTCTAGAACCAAAGGTGGAAAGAGACCTCATAGCCAATCCAAGCAATAGAGAGAAGCACTGAAACTGCAAGGCAATTGGTAAACTTGCGATAAAGCCCAAGCTTGGCCACGCTTCTTCTGATCTGTCCACCAAAGTGATAAAAAAAATACAATATCTGAATTAGTTCTCGAAATTGGGAGGAAAATAAAGACAATTTAAGATAATGCATAAATAAACTTTACCGTTTCCAGAAAATTTATTAAGATATATCCAATTTGGGAAGTAACAGCTATACAGCAATAGAAGTGAAATACCATCAACAAAAATAAACCACCTAACGAGTTCTATCAAGTGCATCATAGCGAAAAAGGTGGGTAAAATTGAGGTAAATGCATGTGAAAATAGTGGGCCTAGATTAGGAAGTTCATAATTCAAATTCTTGCATGATTAAATTCTGGCACTATGATTTGACCACATTCCTACACGTAGTGGGACAATCACGACCTAGCCAAGAAAACACATACTTCTCGTGCTTCCAAGAAGGATACTCAGAAGGGTATAATCCAGAGTGGGTGCAACCACAGCTCACATCTATCTCTAATCTGCATAGGACTACATTGCTACTGCTATTTTGACATACTAGGAATCACAGTCAATTGTTCAACTAAGAAGAGGTTTTAGGATCCAGTCGGCCAAGTAGCCAGTCCGACCAGGTCCGCAAAGCATGCAAAATGTAGATGACCTCAAAAAAACAAGGATAGATGTCATTGGCATCACTATGTGAGACTAGAGAAAAGTAAATGTGTAATCGCGTACATAAAATCATTTTATATACGCGATGGTGAGTGTGTTTGTCTCCTAATTACCTCAGGAGTCAAATAAGAGGCCAATTGATAACCGATTAACTATAACACACACATATGAACACTTCATGGGGAACCTATAGACTAACAACGGACTTCGTATGTATACAAGTCCACAATAATCTTGCTCAAACTAGAGACTAATTGATTTGCTTAAAAGATGCCTACTAATTGCATGCCCGGGCTCACCAGAACTGGTGATAAGAGGAGAAAATGATGTATATAACTTACCTGAAGCTTTTCAAGAGTTTTAAAGCAGGCATCCAAGAGAGTGACTGGTAGCACCAGGAAAATCCTTGCTTTTCCAGAAAAGTCGTTTATGTTTCCCAAATGTTCATAAAGCTCAAGAGCTTCTGAAGCCACAAAGTATGCAATGCCAAGGACCAGTACTATAGGGGTTATGCTACCAAGGGTTGGCTTCACAACACCATATCCCATCGAGACCACTAGAAGTAGCATACGAGAAACAGTCTTCTTGACAGCACTAAAAGTGACTGCCCATACAGTGACTCCCATAGGCCTGTATCCAGTGGAATTGAAGTTTGTATATTCGAAGTACCAGAAGGCCATTTCACACATCCCCAGACCAATTACAGCCGTTATCTGATAGTGAAGTTGTATTACATCTTTCCAGTGCTTTACAAACTGGAGAAACCAGACAAGACCCAAAACGAGGTACGCCAAAGACATGAGGCCAAAAAACGTCATCAGGGGAGTAATCTTGCCAGGTAGATAACCCTGCGGGTTCTTCCAAACAGTCGTTCCACTGACTGATAAGTCCTTGAGCTCTGGATCACAAAACATAAAGTACAGATAGTACATTCCAGTTCTGTTGATCTCCACGGTGTGAAGCTCCATTTTAGCCTCTTCATTTTTCCCCTCAAAGAAAGTCTGAACTCGTATAGGTCCATCAGGATTATTGTGATCTTCATGAATGATCACCTCTCCTACCTTGCAGTATCCTCCCTTAGAGAGATCCGGAGTGCAACATATCATACTCGAATTCAGAAAAGCACCACCAATCTTCTCCCTATCTCTGACATCAACAATTAAAGCTTCAACCAATCCAGTTCTCTGCTGCATCTCATTTTTCTTTTCAGCAGACTCTTTTGTCCTCTGGAAGGTGATGGACTCGAACCTGTACAGATCATAATTGATATTAAGTACCTTCAACCTCATACTATAACTTTGAACTACATGTAAGATCAGCATGACATTCCCAAAGGCTCTCAAAGAAGAAATTACTGAGCAGATATCCGAATACGAATAAACTGCCAGAACTAATAATTACCCACAGAGTTAAAAGTCATGGGATTTATAAAATGTATAAACTGCTTAGCTGAAAAGCATTTATCAGGGTGAATAATTCTTTCTTATCAATGAAGATCATCAGTAGCTAATTGAAAACCTGTGATTCTTGCAAATTTTACGTCGGCCGAAAATAAAATTGCACGTTTTACTGAAAATCCTAGTAAATGCGAGATCAACCTCAAACACTCTGATCTCTAGTAGCACTGCGCGTGTTTCTTTCACACTCACTCTCCCTGTCCACTCATCGTCCCCACCTTTCCTCACTCACACCTCAAAGCTCCAAGCAAAACAGTTCCCCAATTGACTCTTGAATGACTTCCATCGCATGAGAAGGTACCTACGCATGATGTCAGCTTCAGCCCAACATAAGGCAATCATCATTTCTAAAGGTTCGTATTTTCCTTGCTCCTTATCGTCCTCCATTAAAATAGTACTTCCAAATCTCGTCATTCACACGCCTCCCACTGCATGCACGGATTTTTTTTGGTCCCAGATAACTCAAAATCAACAATCGACCTCATGCAATGAACCAACATACGATGCGGCATTGTGCCGGTCGACGCAGAGACGCAGCCGCCGACGCTTTTGCCGCGGGAAATCCGGATCACCCAGAAGAGAACGAGCTCGGTTCACCAAGAAAAGAAAAGAAAAGAAAAGAAACGACAATGACGAACCGGACGAACGATCTGCCGCTGACAGGCGCGTCGCCGGAGGTGAGATTGCCGCCGCCGCCGGCGACGGCGGAGGAGGAGGAGGAGGGGCGGCGGGGCTGGGAGGCGAAGAGGCCCTCGCTGCCGCCGTGGAAGAAGAAGGAATTGGAGCGGCGGGCGAAGGCCCCGCTCCGGTACTCGTGGATCGAGGCGTGGGCTGGCCGGAAGAGAAGGCAGCCGCAGCCGACGCACGCCAGGAGGAGGAGGAGGAGGAGGAGGGGGGGAGAGCGGGACGCTGTCCCGACGGCGCGCGGGGTGGCGACAGCGAGGGCGCGAGCTGGTTGCGGTCATCGTAGGCCCGCGCGAAGCGAAGGAGAAGAAGAGGTAGAGGTCGCGATCAGGGAGCATGGGAGGTGATGCGATAAAGAAGAGCTGACTTCCCGAAGTGAGACTCAACCACCACCACCCCGCCGGATCTGCTGAATTAAACTGGTTGACTTCTGCTCTTTCAATGGGAAAAGGACACCCCGCTCACCTGGCTGTTGTAATTTTTTTTTTTCGGAGAAAATTCTAAATAAAAGTCTAAAGTGCTCTCGGTTTCTCGAATAAAGGCCGGAGTGCCGTTATTTATGTTTCAAATAAGAGTCTAACCTCACCGGGTCACCGGACGGCCATAATTTCTGGTCCAAAAAATAATTTTAACATAGGTTTTAGTTAAATTAGATTAAAAATTAAAAAGGCAAAATTTTACTTTTTTAAAAAAAGAAAAAACACGCGGGAGGGCTGCCCTCTCCCCTATGGCTGCCGCCCCATCGCCCAGATGTGGGAGAGGGTCAACGCCCTCTCCCGGTTCTGGTGAAGGCCTGCTGGTCGGCGACCCCACCGGTAATGGGGCGGCGGCGGCCACAGGCGAGAGCGCTGGCTGCTAGCCCTCCCGCTTGTTTTGTTCTTTTTCTTTTTTAACTTTAGCTTTTTTTTATTTTTTGAATTTGTCTTTTATGGAAAGAAAAAAAACAGAAAAGGAAAAAAAAGTCAAAAAAGTAAAATATGAAAATACCCTTGACCCCAGTGAAGTCAAGCCCTTTTTTGAGATTAATATAGCCACTCCAGATCCTTATTTGAAACAAAATTCACTTCAGGCCCTTATTTGAAACAAGATGCACTTTATGTCCTTATTTGAGAAATTGAAGGCACTTTGAGTCCTTATTTAGAATTTTTCCTTTTTTTTCGATCCTTTAAGTGCCACAAATTTTTCCGGCACTTACGCAAATTTTTTTTAAAAATTACGAGTGATCGATAGTAAATTCTGGCATTTTTTTTAGTAATTATGATATTTAAGTAGTCGAAAAAAAATTATAGCACTCAAGTAAATAAGTATTGTATGAAAATCATGACACATGTGGCGTCTTTAACTCATTTTTAAATGATAAATTAAATGGTTTTTATTTCTATTTTTTGAATTATTAATTTTTCTGAATAGAAGGGTGCAACTGGCTCGATTCGTGCTTCTCTTGTTGTCGTATATGTCTCCATCCAATTCACCTCATACAACACCACATGCCCATGGCTATTGGCAACAGAAATGTACAACACCGCACGGCCGCGAGACAAAATGAGTAAAAGCTTCCCGCATGGGCAGCCCGACCACAGTCGCGATTCAATCGGGCTCCGCACGTTCCCGTTCGGCAGTCTTCCATAGATGGTCAGACCGAGCTTCAATGGCCATACACAGGAGGAATGAACCGGGACTCAGATTGTCGCAAACAGGCGACCGACTCGTTGCACCGGCCTTTGTTAAGCAGAACTATTGATTGGTCCAGCCGAAAAGGCCCATCACATTACAAGTTCACAACCAGAAACCTTGCCAGTTGAAATTCCTCATAGCCACACTTAGACTACGTACTGTGAGAAAAGAATGACGACATTCTATATGATGGTTACAAATGATATTACAAATGAAATAATACACATGATAAATTTTGCCGGAAAAAAAAAATTATCGCGCGCGAGCCGGATGCGCGTCGATCCTTGCTATGAATGGTTGACCACACCCCCAAGACAAAAATGTACAGGCTCCAAGATCTTTTCTCGTGTTCCTGTTTCTTGATTTGTCTGATTTACATTCCGGATGATGATGTCCGGTTTATTCTCTGTGCACCCAATTTTGAAGCGGCGGGTTTAGCTCCTCGGATTCTACTGGCCGCTAAAGGCTTGACGGTGGTGGTAGGCGGAGGAGCGGCTATGGCAGCCCACGGATCGTCATCCGCTGTTACAGCAGTTTTCACAGTCATAGGTTTCGAGGCGCTCCTTGGAACTGGTGCCGCTATGGATCCCCACAAATCATCATCTTCATCTTTGGGGACTTTCGCCGTGCTCTTCGGCCTCAAACTTGTGACTGAGAATCAAAAGGAAAATACTTAAGTCTGCTGGATCCCATTGGCAGCAAATAGAATTAATTAAAATCCCAATGCAAACGAGTCATTAATTGCGGTAAAATCTCAATTCTAACAACAATCCTTAGACGAAATACCAAAAGATATTAGTACCACGACTTTCTAACTCGAATAAGTTGTAACTGGCCTCATATATATATATATATATATATATATATATATATATATATATTCATGTGATTGGGAACCAATTATCCAGAACAGGAACTCAATCTATAATATTCTAGATGCTATTCAAGATCGAATACTCACTGGACATTACAGATACCGGAAACAAATATAATAATTTGAAATGAATTTTTCAAGCAGAAGATAGCATTTTGGACTAAAAAACTATCTAATGGTTCAGTCGTCAAGTCACAAATCATCGATTGGTCTATACAGTCAATGCACTCCCTGAGCATTCATGACCATTGGCATCAAACAAATACAATCATATTACCTGGTGGCTTGGATTGTGAAACAGGTTGCGATACTGGTCTTTTCTGAGCTGCATGGATGCTAGCAAGAACAGGGGATGGCTTTGGCTCTTCAAGGGGTTCAATATCATCCCAACCATCCTTGTCATTTTCATGCTCTTCGTGAATTCCATTCTCCACTTCTCCCCAACCATCAGTTGATGTCGGTGACTCAGGTATGGGCTGATCAGACAAGTCTGTGATGGAACTAGCATGAACTATTGTGTTACTTGGAGTCTCCACGCCTGAAACTATCCAAGAAACCAATCAACATAACATGCATACTATATCAAATATAGTCACAGTGAAGTCACATATCAATTATTTTATCCTGCATTTATCTTGACAGTCCATTATGAAGGAAGAAACATCTTGCCATTAAAAGGAGTAAAGTCATGCACTGTGACTCTAAAGAGAATTGATGATCCATCTGAGCTTAGTCTCGCTATTGATTTTTCAAAAACCCCCTCCCTTTACAGAAAACACAGCAGCAGCTGCATCTAGTACGACTCCACGAAAGTCAATCCTAGCACAAACCATTCATGCATGACAGTGTTTGTAATAAAATTTACCATTACTAAAACCAACTCAAGCTTATGCAAACAAATTATAACTAGACTGGTATCACCATCCACTAAAGGCTTCTGGGAAACACATTCAACAAATCTCAATGAATGAACAGAAGCCATACCAAAGCTGGGAGTGGAAGCTGAAGAAGTAAGAGTAGTGCTGGAGGTCGCAGTTGCAACTGGTGCTTGTTCTGAAGGTTTTCCTTTGAGAGTCAAGGAGCTCATTGCCCATCTGCAAAATATTGCAACCTCAGGTCAAATCGAATTCATGAAAAAAACCATACAAAAGAGGATAAAATCCTGACTCGACTCCTCTACATTTGCAAGAGGAACAACCACTATGGTGAACTGTGGCTGTAAAGTTCTGGCATAAATAATGAGTACTTCTTCAATCATAAATCTTCAAGATTGTGTTTGATCTACAATGCTCTCAAATTCCCTACTTTTAACAGCCCTAAATCCAGAAACTTAGAAGGAGAACGCATCCTACAACTACCACCGTGTTCAGTGCTTTGAAAGGCATAACTGAGAAAAAACGGAATTGCTTTCTGTGTTTTCAAGCTAAAGGGAACAGTCAATCACCAGAAGTGTTGTTGAAATCCTATGATTTCAAATCGATTTCACACACACCAATTCAATCCGTAGCTAGAAGTGGAGATGCATCTGAATCGCAAATGAATCTTACGATCCGTAAACCATTCATTATGATTTGGTATGATCCAATACAATTCAGTCAAGACTTCTATTATGTGATCATTGGGCCCCGAAAGTTATGACATCATGCTTTATACACATTTCATAGCGTGGATGTTTACAAATCACAATTTTACTGATAGAGGCATTATTTCCTTGAATATCTTACATAGGTCATCTGGGTTCATCTGACATGATCAGGTGATATTTCTTCAAAATGATCTGTTCATGTGTCAATATATATGCATATATTTTCTATATTTCGCAAATAATAGCTAGGCTTCAATAAGGTATCCTTCTATTTATTTATTCTATAAGATTCTACTGAATCTTACTATTCACTATTCGATTGGATTCACAATTCAAAAAATGAGGTTTACAATTCACTATTTGAATCCCAATTTAACAACATCGATCGCTAGTTCTTCCAGGTGGCACCTCATCTGCATATGACGAACTTGCAGATGAGCAGTGACAATAATAGTCGTTTTGCGCAGTTGTGAATTTGGTTGATGGTGTATGGGCTTTGAAAACTGTCAAATCCAACCTTTGACTGGTTGCAGAGAAAAATTAATTTCGGACTGTAGAAAAGAGAAGAAACTGCTTGTTTCCATTAATATCTACAAACGTCTGTTTCCTAGATTGCTGCTCAGATAAACCTTAGTTTTCCTGGATTGTTGGATTCTTTTCGCTTTTTCTGCATGGTATGATGTGCAAGGCATAAAAACAAATATGCATCACAAAGAATGAACTTTTGCCCATCAAAGTGACAAAGAGAGCCTCCAAGCTGTTTCTTTTTACTTTCCAACCGAAATAATTTGCCATGTAAGCACGATGCACCAATAAAGAAGAATGAACTCACCCAAGTAAACCTGCATTTCCAAGGTCTAAAGAAGTTCCAGTGCTCCTAATTCCAGTGGTATCCCCAGAACTTGTCTGCAGAAAAAGAATAAGGAGAGGAAGATTTTATTACCAACTGATGAAAAAACTAAACATTGTCAATGAATTAGAGTATCTTAAACAAGTGAAATCACAGATATATCACAGCTCAGAAAAAGAGAAGTACTGGTAAAGATCTCAAGTGATACAATTAGCACCCCCAAGTATGATACATATCATCAGGTAACTATATTACCTAGTATAAAAGATTTCAAATTAATCACAAACCCCCTTTTATACCAAAGTGAGAAATGAAAACTAAAGGGGGACAAAATAATAGGCTACCTCATTGGAACAAAGTCATCAAACATGCATTCATACCACTGGACCAGACCAGCAAGACTATCTGATGGATGCGCGCGCGCACGCGTGTTTGTGCATGCGTGCGCGCGCGCGCGCGCGCGCGTGTGTGAGAGAGAGAGAGAGAGAGAGAGAGAGAGAGAGAGAGAGATCACGAGCAAAAACAAACTATTCAAGCTCCTTCTGACTACTGTGTTGGTGAACATGACAAAATAACTACGCTTTCTGGTTGATCGTATTAAAACTAAGATACATTTTTTAATAATGGTTGAAGAAAAAAACGGAAAAGAGATACCTTCTCATAATATTGCTTCAATAACAGTAAAAACTGGTCAACTGCTTGAAATGCCTTTGATCGAACATCACTGTTGAGGAAAAAAACAAGGAACTCAATCTTGAGATACTTAGTCTTAGAGTCATTTCCCCCCAAGATAGGAGGAAAGTACAAATCCCTGTACATTAGGTCTCGTAAGTGCTTTTATGAATATCACGAAAATTCTGCACTGATTTTGTCCACAAAATGAGAGGCCAAAAACAGTAACATATCAATGCACAACACTAAAAAGGAGAAAAAAAATGACGGTTGGTCAAAAGAGCAGCTCAACATCTAATCATATGGGAGGAAAACTGCAGCGGAAAGGAAACACCTTACCTATCAGGATCAATGGTTAAAACAACAACGTTTGGAAGAATCCTAGTTGCAATTTCAGTAGTGTCATAATACGAGCTTGTCGCACATAAAGCCATGATTCCTGCCCCAACATAATTGTTTAATCAATTAGAAAAGTTGAACAACTACTTAGTGACGGTCTTGTCAGAAAGAGAAGAATATATTCAGCAAAAGAATAAAGGAAACATAAGAAGAAAGAGTAAAGAGTTTGCCTAGATGCACTAATGGAACAGTAGTTTTCAGGTTTCCATCAATGCTAGGAATGGTTAGCATCTTCGAAGCATGTTGTAACTTGTAAGTATACCACTCAATAAAATGTCGATTAAATCACAGAGGGACCTTACCTGCTCCTCTGGCAGGAGAGAAAGTATCACGCAGTGCACGGACTGTAAATGCATTGATCAACACTCTTTTCCTTGTCTGCACCATATATATAAAAACAATATGTTGCATTCTCAAGAAATTTCACTCACGCTAGAGAAGGATTAAGATGTGGTAAATTTGCTGAAAGCAGATATGGTAATCAAAGTATATGACAAAAGATGATGGAAATTGGGAATCTAACCCCTTCATTTAGATGGCTCGCTATGTTTCCAAGTAATATCGTGGTGTTGGTTCTTATTGCTGGTTCTTCATCCACCTGCAAGCGTTACAAAAATGAAAGACATGTACCACAGCTCCCAGCAATTGCCTAATAGATGAGTGACTCCTAAAACGAGCACCACAAAGAAAAGGCATAACCAATTTTCTGCGGTGCCCTTATCCAAGCATATCTTAAAATGCACAGATCTTGCATTATCTTCTAAAGTTCAATAAAAGATGATCTGAAAGACCTACTGCCAGAATAAGTAATCATACCTGTAACTTGGACAGGTACTTCAGTAAAGATGCTGAAATTGTTCGCTGAGAAAGCTGAAGTTAAAAAAAAGAAAAATGTAATGAACCACTGTCTCCATTCATTGAATTTGGCTGTAATTAGATCTGCAGTACGTGACATGGCTTTGAAGAACACAGGACTCGCCATTTATCGGTTGTGCACAGCATCTTAGAAGACAGCTGAGAGATAAAACCTACCTTAGGAGCGAGAATGAGCATAGATTTCAGTGTCAATTCTCGCAGAAAGGCAGATGTATCAGAAAATCCAGTAGCCACGTGAGGATAAACCTAGTCAGGAAGATAAGAGCTTTAGAAATCCAAAATTTGAAGTTCAAAAATTACTCTTGATATACTTAGAGCATAGAAAGACATCAAGAATTTGGTAGTGGCAGCATACTTGCTCATCAACAATTTGAGCTGACAATGACTCTCCATACTGATCAATGTGCTGGAGGAGACCAACTCGAATAGCACGGTCGTTGGAGGCGAAAAGCTTAACAATTGTGGGCAGTACCTGAAAACAAACATATTTAAAATCAGACAAAACAATATAGACATAGACCGCGCTTCTAAACATATTCACATATAAAGGACGTGATCTCAAAACTCATATACAAGAAACAGACTGAAAGGAGATGGAATTAAAAAGAGTATAACCTTGGAACTGAATTCTTCAGTAGAGAGCCAGGAACCCATTTTTAACAATGCAGCCAATGCAGGGGCAGCAGCTGAACCAAATTCAAGGGCAGAAGCTAATAAAGGAAGTAACTGTAAAAGCAGGAAATAACATCAACACGCTGAGTTAAAGGGAAATAATTGTCGGGTGTACTACAAGGAATTTAATGACCGCACCTTCTTCAAAACAATTTGCCGAGGAAGCTGCTCAGCTAAATTTGGCAGCTTGCGGAAGAAGGTGTCTTTCTCAACACTATCCTTTAGATTGAGAATTTCCATGAAATGTATTGTATCCACCAGTTTATTTTGAAAATATTCTGCCATTCCATAAGCACCAAAGTTAGTATTATTGCACACAGAAGAAAATGATGCAGAGAAACAGTTGTCCTAGATCAACATCCCATGGCATAAAAGGAAGAAGTGTCAGTACATAGAAAACGCATACAGCAACATGAGCAAGTGCCCACAAAGCTACTTTAAAGGAAAGAGAAGGTCCTGCAATGGGCACCGTTTACATGCGTACAAACATACCCGAGAGCCTGAAATTCCACAAGACACTCATCTGCTCTTGCAATGAAATGAAATCTCTCATTTCTTTTATTAACCATTAAACAGATTGTCTATAGTCACTTCAATAAAAAAACATTTTTTGTTGTTTCCTGAATAGACTTAAATAATGGCCAAGAAACCATATACCAAATAGCAACTACCACGAGTTTATCCTCCATTATTTACATTTCATCTAGTATATTGCTCTCTGATGAGAACTGGAAATGAATCAAATGCTGTCCACTAATTCCCTGAAGAACTATACATGTATAACTGAACTGATCATTCATCTATTCAAATCATTTCCATGCATTAAAATGTTGCAATTTATACTACCAACTATAAGGAGTAAATAATATCAACAAGTAGTTAGACACTCAAGTTAGAAAGCTGACCACTATTCTCTAAAAGCTTTGATGTATTCATCCTGCGAGAAGGCATGGAACTCAAGAGCCGCTGATAATCTGGAAGCAGAGACTGCAAGACGAGTGTAGAACAGATGCAAGTGAAATGAAAATCTTCCAAGAACTCCAAACCAAAATTATAAATCTGTGATGTAATGAAATTAGTATAAATCATTCATCCAGTGAACATGTCTAGACAGCTACCCTTAACAGATATTGTATCTACCTTTGGAATAGAAGCAGTGTTGCGCAACTCCTCTGTTTTGCTCAACTTCATGCCGGAGAAAAGTTCATTTATGAGACAGCCTACCAATAAGAACAAACAAAATGGAATGAAGTTCTAGAGCCCTGATACAACAATACACCAAAAAAGGGGGGAAAACTACGAGTCTAGTGATAAAGCAACAAAAGGCAGCTGAAAATCGACTTGCAGAGACTCGAAACAAAAGAATCTTGCATGAGCATTTGTTTATCATCTTTGATAAAGTGCTTGTTCTCCATAGCATGTAAAGCATGTAACCACAACTCACATTTTTATGCATGAACTGTGCAAAAGAATATGAACCATACATAGAAAGCACCTTTGGAAGTACAAGGACGTGATGGCATTGAGAAGTCATTGTCAGATATCAACCCCTATCTTCTTTTATAATTCTAAGAATAATTTGAAGAGGGGAGGGGGGGGTGTGGGTAATTGGGTTGTCGAGGAACTTACCTAATCCCCATGAGTCAATGGCCCATGGCGGAGATTTTCTAATGGCAGCCCAGTCAGACTTTACCAACTCCATTGGTTTGTATTGTGATCCAACGAGCCATTCATATTGCTGAACAGACAGGTTATAAGATATAACAAAGCGGCAACTTTGATCATCTACTATGCCATGAGAAAAGGCAAAATTATTGATGGTCAATCGTAGTCCATCCTCCGTTGCCACAAAAGAACAAATATTTTCATAAACCAACACGGCCTATGGAATTTATGAAACTTCTGCTCCCTGATGCTATTCATTGTAAAGAGGAACAGAACAATTTAGAGCTAATTGTATGAAGGAAAGGACAACATCAGTAGAGTGTATAAACTACCAAGCTATATTCGAATAGCAAGATACAAAAGATGAGAAAAGCATGCTAATAAAGATGTCTTCTAAAAGCCCTCCACCACAAGCCATCATCCAAGACAAAGATAATATAAAAGTTTTTGCAAAGTTGACTTGTGCAAAACAAATCTAGATGTGTAAGCTATGATGGTAAATATACGAATTGCTCAAAAAGGTTAAGCATCATTTGTGTCACATACTTGTGAAAATAGATAAGTTCTAGAGCAAGACATGAATTTCCTCCATCGATTTCCGTAAACCGCTAGCCCATTGAGTTAAATTGGCTAAATCAAGCGACAGGTAAGGTTATTTGATAATGGATATTATAGAACATTCCCAATGTATATTAAGTGAAAATCATGCAAGTCCACTTTAATTTTAAGATTAAAAAAAAAGTAAGGGTCACTCAGCAGGAAACAAGTTGTTGAAAAATGAAAGAACAGCTTTGCTCAAATAAAATTCTCAATCAGCCATCCTTTTTTTTATATGGGGAGGGGCTGTTAAATAAGGAGACGTTGTTAATTACAGATCACATATCCAAAACGAGAAGAAGGTCATATACACAAGCACTTATCTAATCTTGGCAACAATAACAATGGTTACATGTTAGAGCCCGTAAGCATAAAGGTCTGTACATCACTTCCAAAGTTAAAGAAAAACAAATTATCAAGTAGATACTTACCAGCATAGGTCCAGTTGCAGTAGGATTGTTCCCATCAAACTCAGATAGAACGTCAAAAGCATGCAGCTTCCAGTCCAAAGTCTGAGTGACAACAACACTTGCCACACATACATTAGCATGAACCTGCATTTGCCAAAATTAGCCTCTACAAAACGGAGACAAAATATCTTGAGGTGATAGAAGGAAGGGGATAGAAGGGACAGGAAAGGAAATTAGACTTCCATCTTAACCAGATCAGGGAGGTGCCTCCGTTATACACTCTGATGTAGATGAGACTGAGTCTACCTACTAAACTGGGGTGTCATTCAAACCAAAACTTGAAAATATACGACAGAGAATTCCTAACAGCATCCATGTGACTTTCGTTAACAATTAACAGCAACTTAGAGGCTGAAGCCTAAAGATCTCCTTTTGTCTGTGTCGTCCTTCCTTAATATTCCGCAAAAGACTTTCCTCATTATAAACCTTCTCTCCAAAGGCGAATTTGTATAGACAAGAACATCCACATCCATTTACCACAATATGGAGAAATTTTACAATCTTAGAACCATAGAAGCGTGAAGGAATGAGAAAATCTTTAAGCTGAACAGCCTCGCCAAAATCAAGTAGGAAGGATCTAATATTCAGAATTGTGTCGAACTGGAATGTCTTCTAATAATTTCAGCTTCTTTTTCCTGTTTTATGGATTTTGTTTCTGCTTTAACTTCTGCACACTCGGACAATATTTACCTTTGAATTTATTCCTATTAATAAATCAATCATGCTCAAAATGGAAATTGAATCTCATAGAGTGATATATAGCCTGCTCGCTCTGTTTAGCAGCTGAATAACTGGACAAGAGTAAAGATTGACGATTCTAATACAGACATCACACCATTTTCAGATATTGTCATAACAGCGGCGTGTCCCCTCTTCGAAACGGTAAATAGCGGTTCCTTCATCACTCATGAGGATAAAATTGAGGTTCGATACTCACAAGTTTACAATCATTATTAAGGAAGCTCACTGCTTTAGCAATTTGATTTAGCCCCCATGCATAGTACTCATCCCTGGCATTGAAAGAGAAAGTTATTGAACAATATACCCAAAACGTAGCAGAAGATTGTAAATACTCTACCATTTTTATGCTCCATAGATGCAAGTAGATAGTAGACAAGACAGAGGTAAATATGACCGAAATACAAATGAAAGAAGCAGAGTAAATTAAAAAACCAACAAACACCCGGGAATTTTAGCATCTCAATAGGTGTGCAGTGCAGTGGTATGTCATGGAGTTTGAAACTTCAATTGCACACCATTCCACTGTTGGTATAGGCTAAAAGATAATGTAGCGCAATCAAAAGGGCTACCAGCACAGACATATTACTCAAACATGAATATCAGAGAAGAGTAAAAATACCGTACCTCTGAGTACCTTCTAAACCCAATTCCTTTATCTTTTCAGACAAAGGCATCACAGGCTCTGTGACAATATAAATGGTAACTTTCGTGGCAGCACCATCAAGAACTTCAGCTTCAGTACTATGGAGAAATGATAGTATATTCGGATGCCTCACCTGTAAAAAGGCAATTTTTTGATAAATACAATCCAGATATCCTTCTGAAAGACATAGCATAGCTGGTGACCGTCAAACTTCTCTCTGCATAGTATGAAGGTGACAATCCAGCTTCCGAAAGAAGCTTGGTGCGACTAAACCTTAAACTCTAATCATGTGTTATATCACTTTGGGTATACATTCAGTTTTGTTTTGTTTTTTTTTTTTTTTGTCAGAGTATACATCCAGTTAAAACAAATAGCTTACAGTTCGGAGACGTTTGACACCATTTCGACCAGCAGCTAGATGTCCATCCTGGGGATTGTTCCCCGAAAGGGAGAATATAGAAACGGGAGATCCATCATCCTGGATAAGCCAAAAGCAGCACATAAGGAAAAACAAGAAGGAAAATACTCCGTCGATCCTTCCATAAGCGGGATAAACATCGCTAGATCAAGGGATGCATCCACAAGCACTAACATTATGATGCACAAAACTAAAAGAGACCATTGGAATGGCCAAAAAATAATGGATGCCAAAGGAATCAAACAATCGCAGCTTTACTCATATAGTGACACAAACAGACTCTTGAGCAACAAAAGAACATCTCCGGCAAGTGCTTCAAAGAATATAGCTAAACAACCTACTCTCTTCACTCATTGACAATTGAATTCACAACAAATTACTTTTCAGAGCGAAACTCCGCTCCCGTTGATTTTCCCCTAACGCATTCGCATCGGATGGACCTACTAGTTTCGGTCTTCAACCAGTGAGCATTCCCCGATCAAATTCGCCAGCTATCTCACTTCGCACCGTCTACTCGAATCAAGCCACACTTCCGCAGCAAAAACAAACTAGACGCGACCACATTCATCAAAACATTCCCCAACCACACAACGATCTCACTTCACCCGCACCAACCCACCCAGATCGCATCCCGACCCCGCCCACTCCCCCCGCGCAAAATCCACATCGGGCCAATCGCGGTCCGGCCCGAGCAACGCGGCGGCAGTCCCCATTCAATCGCAAAATTCACGCGGGCCGACGCGAAACGAACGGGGAACCACCCCGGGCGGTACGGAGCACATACCTTGGAGGTGCCGCGGCAGTGGACCCAGGAGCCCCAGGCGGAGGAATAGGGCTCCCCGATGTTGTACGGGAGATCCTTGACTCCGGTGCCGGATCCACCGACGACTCCTTTCAGGAACTTCAACATTCTCCCCTCCCCGCCACCCTCCTCGCTCCTCCTCCTCCGCCGCCGCCGCCGCCTCGCGATCCCGGAGCTTCCACCGCAAATTTAGCGCCGGCGACAGTTACGACACGGAGGGAGACGGAGACGGAGACGGAGACGGAGACGGAGACGGAGACGGAGAGATCTTCGAGCAGGGGAAGACGAAGGAGGTGGTGCGATCTGCGAGTGCAGAAGAAGAAGGAGAAGAAGGAGGAGGATGAGGAGGGATGGTGAAATTGGGGGAGGCAAACGATTAACGCTGATCCGGTGCTTCTCAGTCCATGGGAAAGCTTCAGCTGCCCCCCCGATCGGAATCGAATCGATTGCGCTCGTTCTTCGAAAAATCAGTTTAGCTGCGGAAACTTAGGGCGGATTTGCATTTTGGCCCCCCGGATTTTTGCACTTCTTGTAAATTGCATCCCGACTTCTCCGACCCTTTTGCAATCCAGTCCGTCGAGTCTTGAAGTTTCGAGGCAATTCTAAGGGTGTGCAAACGGTTCCCGTGGGGACCGGTCCAGTTCCCGGTTTCAATTTATTGGAACCAGTGAATACCGGTCCGGTTCTCGGTTCTAGGTATAGAATCACTTACCTGTCCACTCGGACTGGATCGATAATATATATAATTTTAAAAGAGAAAATACCACCAAAAACTCCAAATTATGCCACTTATGACAAATTTACCCTGAACTTTTTTTTTGCGACACGAAATACCCCAAATTATGCCATTTGTGATACATTTACCCCACAATACTTTTCCCAAGGGCATTTTCGTCTTTTTTTCCTTTTTTTTTTTTCTTTCTTCTCTCTTCCCTCCGCCATGGCCGGCATCGGGCAAGGGCCACCCTCGCCAGATCTGGCAAGGGAAACCCTTGCCCGACGCTGGCGAGGGCCGCCCTCGTGGGCTTCCCTCCGCCATGGCCGGCGGAGGGAAAAGAGAAAAAAGAAAAAAAAAAAAAAGGAAAAAAAAATAGAAAAAGGAAAAAAGACGAAAATGCCCTTGGGAAAAGTGTTGTGGGGTAAATGTGTCACAAGTGACATAGTTTGGGATTTTTAATGTCACAAAAAAAAGTTCAGGGTAAATTTGTCACAAGTGGCATAGTTTGGGGTTTTTTGTGATGTTTTCCCATTAAAAAAAAACATTCCAACAAAAAAAAAACATTTTAAGAAAGATGAAAACCCTAAAATCCCTAATCTAAAACTCAGCGCCTATGAACTAAATACTCGTCTCATCTCGTCTCACTCTCACTTTATCTAAGTCGTCTCTCTATCTCACATTCATGATATTGACTCTTAAGCTCATTGTCTATCGATTCACGGTCTCGAATCTCAACTCTCATCAACTCACAGCCACGCCTCCGGCTGTTGTTCGTAAAATTATGCACTTGTCAACGAACGTGTTGAACAAGTAATACAATGATAAGAAGAGTATCGTCCCAAAGAGATTGATGATAATAAACTAATTAAATATTAAAAATAGACTAATTCTAAAATTTATCTAACAAATCAAAATAGAATTGAGAGTAAATAAAAATTGACAATTTTTAAAAAATGAAATTTTAGAAATTAAAGGAAGATAATTAATCAGATAAAACATATTAGAGCATCCGATTTCACTATAACCACTTGATATGAATTTTAGATTTTATGCATACAAGAACAATATTAAACATGTGATAGCGGAATTTCCTAGACTATTTACTATCCTATCTCTAGGTATAGCAAACCTACTAAGTTTATCAATTCACTATATTTCTATGTGAATTTAAAGAAATATAAGTGCATTAAAATTTGTGAATATTCCTGGTTTACAATGAATCTTTTGGACTACCTTATCACCAAAAGCTACACAAATAACATGATATATTTCTATCCACATTTAATTCATGGTTATATATTATAATGAGCAACTGCATATAATCACTTCTCAGTCTCAAACATGCACATCAAATCATTCAAGTGATGGCCAGTCATTTAAAGGCATTAAGCACAATAATATGTAACTCACATGAATGAAATTACTTGCAAAGCATAAAAAACATAAAATTCATACCATCATGGTTAGGCTATATCGTAGCTCTAACAAAAAAAATTAGAACATAATAGAATAAGAAACGAAAATATAAATTAAACCAAACATCTTGAATCAAAAAACAATAATTATGTCACCACTTTTTATTTTCTCTTCAAAATACTTGAAAAACTCTTAGAACACTGAAAACAACAACGATCTAAAAGAAAAACTAGCTATTCCCCCAAATTATTCTATTTATATGATAACATCCAAGAGTCTTCTCACAAGGCAATTGCTTCTTTTTCGCATAAAATTAGGGAATAAATTGCAAAATTCCCAATGTGATATCCACCTTCTAACTTTTCTCTGGATAGCATATTCCTTTTCTTCTTTTTGCCATATTTTCCTTATTTTCTCCATATCTCAATATTCTACATAAACAAGGAAAAATTAAGTAAATAAAAGGAAATCCAAATATATTCTAACAAATATTGCGTTATTTATTGCGTAAAGTAGATAAAATAACTCTATGTTTATAGAGTTATCAGCCGTTCATCACCCCCCTCTCTCGCTCTCGATCACCTCCATTCGTGTGAAACTTGGTGGGATTGACACACCCAGACCCGTCCGGTTCTCGAATAGATCCATGAAACCAAAGGGCGATTTCCAGTTCTAATTTCTCACAACCGGTCCTTAGTAGGTAATTCCCAATTTCATGATAGGAACCGCCCACTCGGACCATGCTCACCCCTAGACGATTGCAGTGTCCCCTTTAGCGTTGGCTCAAGCCGTCTTCCAATCGAAGCTCCGGTCATGCGCTCGTCGCATGGATAGTTAGTGCATTTTAGCGAGGGCGAATATGTCCAATAGTGAGAGCGAAGTAAATTTTCCATCGAGTTTTGGCACTCGTTGTAATTTGCACCCTTAACTTTTTTATTATTGCATTTTTTCCTACGAAGTGTTGAAACCGGTTGCAATGTCCTCTCTAATAGGAGTGATCACTTCAAGTATGGGTAGGTCTGAAACCTACCATGTTAAAACCCATTCACAATTTTTGGAACCTGAAACCTATCTCATTTGCTTTGGAACCGACTCTGTTTCTTGGTCCAGTTTCAAGGTCTACATAGGAATTGGTATTTATTTTATTTTTTTTGCTTCATTTTTTTAAAAAATCGAGACCAAGGGCAATTACAGCAAAATAGTATGAGTAACAAAATAGCTCAAATTAAAATATAAAGCGATGGGGAAGTTAAGTTCTTTGATCATGTTTTTCCAACTTTATAAAGTAGGTTCGAATTATCGGTTTTCGAGTGAGTGGGCTCAGCCTCCAAAACCTAAAACCTACCCGCACAATACTGGTTCCAGATTCCAAATTTCTGAAATCGGAAAACAGACCTATTTCCATGGCATGTTCGATCCGATTCATGGGTAGAGTCGAACCAGTTGCACAGCTCTACTCCCTAGTGTGGATTTCGGCTAAAAAGGCCTACCTTTGAACAATTTTCAAAGTCTAACCCATATTTTGCAAATAATCAATCAAATAATCAAATTTTGTACTTCGTTTCAAGTATTGCCTCCAAATATCGTCCAAATTGTAGAAGTTATCATAATCAACCAAAAGATATATGTCGTTTTCAAAAACGACCTCTCAGGGCTTGCAATATAGGTAAGACACAAGGCAAATTAAGAAATGCAAAGACAAATCTTAACATTACAAGACACAATACAATCTGCACATTTTGTTTGATAAACTAAAGTGTTTATTTTGTAAGTCAATTATTTTATTGTTAAATAAAAAGATACGAAATTTAGTGCCAATATCACTTTATAAGAAACATAATACGAGCATCAAATGCTGATGCGGCATGATGACGACGTGTCAAATTTTATTGTTGCAAGTAGAAAATAATAAAATACTTTACTTCCATGAGTTTTGTGTGAGCAAAAATATTATAAATCAGAAGAAATGATTTTATAATATCTATTGCCGATACAAAAATGAAAAGAAATATTTATATATTTAGAGACAGAGAGAGGGGAGAGTTCTAGCACATAAAAGCCACGTTGTTAGTGGAGCCCGCGCCACAACCACACGCATGTACCACATAAAAGGCAGGACGACCGTCGCTAATATAGCCTAAGTCGATGTCCCATGGAGATTAGATTTAAAATTGATCGAGATCAATATAGTTTATTTTAAATTTATTTCAATATTCTAGTGAGAACGGTGCAAGAAATTGAAAAGTTAAGGAGACAATTGGTCACATGTGCCAAAATCTGGGAGGTAATATGTCATTCGTCATTTATTGATTAAAAACTACTGAAAACACAATTTTTTTTCATTTTTTATAGAGTCGCTGTCCTTTAAGTCATGGTTAAAAGGGAACAACGGAGGTTCATTTTATTTATGTTCTATGGCAATTTTTTTTGTAAATTTTTGTAAATTTCTATTTTGTATAAGCCATGGTGATCATTCTTTCTTCAAAGCACCACTGGGTGATAACCTTGAATAGGAAATCGATCTTCCCCCATTAGATTGATTACGAGTTCCGAATTGAAGAAGTAAACTGAACTTGACTTACGACGAAGGAATCGAATGCCGAAAGGAACCGTTCTGTTAAGGCTTCAAATCATGTTGAGACCCACAAAAGAAAAAGTAAAGCAAGTCCTTTTCTTGACTTGGCCTAGGTGCATTATACCAAGCCCATTTTGAAAGAAGTTAGATTTCAAAATCAACAAATAAATGAAAACATGACTCTTTGCTTGTTGCCGTCTAATTCTTTCGGCCTACTTCGTGACTGGGTCGTGTTATTAGGGAAAAGAACCAAAAAAGTCCTAAACATATCGCATTGGTACCAATTCAGTCATAAACCTTTCGATTTGATCAATTTAGTTATAAAACTTTTTACATTTTGCTAATTGAATCAATCTCGCCAATTCAAGCCGAAAATTACTGACGTGGATGTCGACCGTCCTACGTGGCACAGCTAGTGCCACTGTGCCCTCGCCCAGTGGCTGGCGATCTCTGGCGACCCTTGCT